CGCCTTGAAGCCGGTGGCGTCGTTGCCCAGACACAGGTCCACCTCGATACCGCTGCTGGGGTCCGCGAACTTGATGATGGGCACCCGGGCGTGCAGGATGAACTCCACACACCCCCGGCGGGCCAAACCGGCGGCCAGCAGCCGGAGGCCCACATCCCGCAGCAGCTGCCGCTTGGTGCGCTGGTCTAGCTTGTGCTGCGTGTGTGTGTGTGTGTGTGTGTGCGAGGGAAAGGTCCTAAAGGCCCTAATCAGGGGATTTGGGGTGTCCGCTGTCTGACACTGAAGAAGGGAAGAAGGGCGCCAAAGGGCTGCCCGGGGTCGGGGTAGCCAGGCGGGCGGATAGAAAACCGCTTCATATGTAAGACGGTAGCCAGAGAGCTGGCGGAGTACAGCTAGTATGACCCACAAAGCCATAGACTTAAAATGCAAGTGGAAAGTGGTCGAGATCAACAAGCAAGCTTTGTTCAGCTGGCGCAGTTGGGCCGTCGACAGCTGACGCAGTACACGTCGTGCAGTTGATAGTTAAACCAACCTATGATGTGTGAAACAGGGGGGTGTATCTTCGCCCGTGGCAGCTACCCTGCGAAATCCTGCCTTCCCCGGTATTTCGGGGCACCCTCATCCAGTCACCCTAGTCAACTTCTCAGTGGATCGCTCAGGTTCCGCACCCACCACCAGCATCCAACGAAATCTGCCGGGTCGACAGCGGCCCAACTCCATTCCTGGTCGGCTCGCAGGTTAACTTTATCCCAGGTCACCACCGTCCATCAACTAGGGGCGCAATGCCTTCCACCATCGGAAGGACTTTTGACCCTAATGGGTATCGATCCCGGGATCTCCCGGGGGCAATGGTCGCGCCTTACCAGTCGTGCCAAACCCTATATATGTGTGAAACAGGGGGGTGTATCTTCGCCCGTGGCAGCTACCTGCGAAACCCTGCCTTCCCCGGTATTTCGGGGCACCCTCATCCAGTCACCCTAGTCAACTTCTCAGTGGATCGCTCAGGTTCCGCACCCACCACCAGCATCCAACGGAATCTGCCGGGTCGACAGCGGCCCAACTCCGTTCCTGGTCGGCTCGCAGGTTACTTTATCCCAGGTCACTACCGTCCATCAACTAGGGGCGCAATGCCTTCCACCATCGGAAGGACTTTTGACCCTAACGGGTATCGATCCCGGGATCTCCCGGGGGCAATGGTCGCGCCTATATATATACATTGGTCGTTATATTAACACAACGCCTTGCAAGGAGCCATGTAACTCCCTTTCACCTTCCTTTAGAGGCGTTGAGCGTTCCGCATCACAAGGGTATACATGACCGCAGACGCAAAGAATGGACCATTACAGATATTACCGTTAGGTTCAACGGTCGTTGGTGGTTACGTTGGTACTCACCACCGACACATCTTCCTCCTCTGCGGCACCCCCGAAAATCTCCGCCCGAGAACCAGGCTTCAAGCAATCCACTGGAATCGTGCCACAAACAGCAAGGTCTGCAGATGCCAAATTCGAACAAGCAGGAGGCCCCTGGTAAGCGCAACGTGCTCTATGCTATTTAGGACTGTCCGATGAAGTTTGCGCACCAAGGTCACTTGTCGAATTGTAGAACTGCGAAACGAAACTGCCGTAGGGAATGACCCGTAGATTCTGTACATTGCCGACGCGCTGTAACGCCGCTTCAATTCGCGTGATGAGCGCCAATCGTTTATTATAGTCATCTCTTGTCGGTGTGCAGGCCTACAACCGAGGCAAGAGCATCCCACTGTGAGCAAGGGGAAGACAACAGGTCGTATTGTCTTGTCCTCACCTGGACCAAAGACTCAAGAACGTGGCCCAGACCTGCCATTCTCGCGTGCCATAATCTATATACAATTATCATGATGACCATCCAGGTGACAAGGAATCGTTGCAAACCCCCGCTCCGAAACCCACACGTCCCAAGTGGGTCCATACGTTGGTATGGCAGTTGTTGCATGGTAAACTCATTAGCAGGGATAGAGGAAATACTAAGCCTAGAGAGATGGCACCACTGCCAGTGAACTGCAAACCTGGCTGCGCGTGCCATAGGCAGGCGCAAATTTCTCCGCAACTAACTGGTGTGTCTTCCGTTACTGTTGCCTCACGAGTAGACCTGCTGCGGCGTCGTGTTCACGCTTCTGCGGCTGCTGGCGAACTACCTTCTCAGTCTTCGTCCTCGTCATCTGCAAGCACAAGTGCCAACGGGTGCGAATAACATGTATGTTCTTATGCTCGAAGTGACCACCGCCCTAATTTGTGCCCTTTTCTTTGGCTTGGTCGTCCGTCATGGGTAACAGAACGGGCCTTGCCGATTCTGAGAACTTCTGCATCATTGAAAACAGCGAAACAGTCAAGGTAACATTATAATAACTTCATCCTTTTCACCTGCTATCAGACGTCTCTTAAGGTTCCACTGTTCGTGCCACAGGACTTTGCCAACTTGCAACTGGATGAGATATCTCAAAGCATCCAGGCACGTCGCAATAAGATTTTCCTCCTTTTGGAAGAGGTCCGGCGACTACGTATACAACAGCGGTTGAAGGTGCGTAGCTCATTTCCCACAGCTGGGCCCCAGTAGGCACGGGCCGATTGCACTGGAGTCAGAACCCCAAGCGCCGCTTTCGACATTGTTTCCTTGAGTAGTTTTACTGATCCTTTTACTCCGGGCATCACTAAACCACCGCCGTAACTCCTTCCACCCCAGGGTGGTGATACCAGCAAGGAGCAAGAGCTGAGCCAGGAGCAGTTCGTTTCCGCGCTGCCCTTCCTGCCTCCTCTATCGGAGAAGACCCTCAACACGTATTACACAGCGTACGCGTCCATGGTAGCCGGCATCATCGCGTTCGGGGCCCTGGTGGCTCCCATTCTGGAGGTCAAGCTGGGGCTGGGAGGTACGTCTGGAGGCCTTTCCTGGGTATTCGTTCTAGCTTGCAGTGGCAGCACGAGTGTCTCCAGTCACTGGGGATGGGGGAGGTGGAGAGGGGTGGCGAAGGGGGGAGGGAGGGTGAGGACGCCAGGCCTGCTGCGGTAATCCTCGAATGATGATGAGAATCATAATGCCTTGGTGGCCTTGTGATGTGTGCCTGGTCGCCTGACGGCAGCAGCGGGGACGACCTATGTGGGGACTACAAAACCAGGCAGTCAGACAGCAGCAAGCAGCTGGTGCATTCATCTCTGTACGCGCTTTGCCCTTCCAGCAAATTCCATGATGCGGTTGCCCGAGTCCCCACGCCCGTCCTGAGCCCCACCTTTCCTCTGAGCCACTCTGCTACTGCCGCTCTGGTAACCACGTTACGATATGTGTGTAGGTACCTCCTACCTGGAGTTCGTCCAGTCCATGCACCTGCCCCGGCAGCTGGCCCAGGTGGACCCCATTGTAGCGTCATTCTGCGGCGGCGCGGTGGGGGTGCTGTCAGCTCTGCTGGTGGTGGAGATGAGCAACATTGAGAAGCAGCAGAAAAACAGGTGCATGGGGACGGAATGGGCTCCGGATCCGGCTGAGAAGTTGGAGAGGCGATTGAATGGGACGTGGGTGGGATTAGGGATCCAATATGGAGCATGTGCAAATGGGTTTCCTGGACGAGTAAGCGACAGGGTGGGAGGGGCACCGTAGGGTAAGGGGCACTGTATTTGCAGCGGCCTGAGCGTCCTACAGCCTCCACCAAGGGGGCCGCTATCCCCAAGTAAGGTTGTCGTTGCGGTGTAATCAACTTTCAATGTACATAGTCCAGGGCCTCCCGGCCTTGACGGATCCCCCTGCACTCGTGCGGCACTTGTAACTTGTAACATTACGGATGCTGGACCGTTCGAAGAGGGGCAAGAGGGGAAGATGTGGGAAGATGTGTCCAAAGTTGGAAAGAGTTCTGTGGAAATGGTTGTGCCGAATCCTGCTTTTTATCGTGCCTTGGATATCGGCTTCGGGTCCTTCTCAGCACTGCAAAGCGACAGGAGCCTTTCCAGTGAACGCCCTGCCGGACGTCATTGCCCTCATTGCGGTAGTCTTTGGCCCCGTCCTGCCCACCCGACCCTGTTGGCCTAGGTGCTTCTATTGCGAGGGCACGGGCTACTTGATGTGCGGTCACTGCGTTGGCTCCGGCCTGGACCCCATCACCAAGGCCCTGTGCCCCTACTGCGCCGGATCGTCCAAGGTCATGTGCACCTCGTGTCTCTGCACCGGCAAGCATCTGGCCACCGAGCACGACCCGCGCATCGACCCCTTCTGAGGGACAGCAGTGCCTCCGCAGCGGGGTGGGGACCTGCAGCAGGGGGAGTGTGTCGAAGCAGAGTAATAGTAGGGAGGACTGATGACGCCACGGTGGTCGTGGTGATACCAAATTTTGGCCAGCAGCGGAGTGGAGTGGAATAGGCACGTCCCGGTGCTGTGCATATGGATGCTGTGTGCGTCGCTGTCTTCCAATGGGGCCGCGTGGAAACCACGGATTGATGCGGTAGACCAGGGGTTGCGTTGGAGGGGCACCTGCATGGCATGGGGTGTCCGGGAGGCGAAGCAGCTTAGAGCGATGTGCTGTTGCGATGTGTGATTCCACGCATTAAATATTTCTGCGAGAGGAGTCAATTGGAGAGAGGCTGTTTTGTCAAGGGCAGGCATGTTTTTCCTTCTAAATGCCTAGGACAGAAGGTCTGGAGGAAGGGGCTATGGGGGTCCTCGTGAGCCGAGCCACGCCAGGGTCCTCGCTTACATGTCGGAAACTTTATAGGTCATGCGAAATATCTAATGGGATGGCAGGCCAAAATGCGTCGTATAATTTATCAAGCGACAGCACGTGTATGGGAATTTGCACTGATTGGTTTGGGCCCCGTCACTCTGTTGAGCCAAATTCTTATGGTTGGGGTCCATCACGGTTGGGGTCCGGGTCTATGTTGTAACTTGCAGGTGGCGGTTTTGTGTTATATGGTACGCTGCCTGGATCGCAAGCATCAGCAGTGGTAGTAGGACCTTTGTTTTCGTTCCGGTGCCTGTCGTTCCGGTGCCTGAAGAAAAGTGGCGTTTGAAAGGAGCGGCTCTGTGGTAGAGGCTCCAGATGCAGTGAGCATGTAAAATCAGGGAGAGAAGCGTTACGCGCCGGATATTTTTGGCTCTTGTGCACGTGAAATCTCCATGTTGTCGATCGTTGCTTGGATAAGGAGAAATGCCCTCACATATTTAGCCTCAGAACTTAATGTTGATACTGGTCCTTTGTGATGCGGCATTTCCCTGTGTCTTCTGGTCTTCCTGTACAGACCTGTCTCCCACCAGGTGTGGGCTGTAACATCCAGGCATGTTCGTGGACCGGTCACACGAGAGGTTGGGGTGGCAACTTCTACGTTGGTAAACAATTATGCGCACGCATTGCCATACTAACCTGCCATACTCTCTTGTGTCATGCAACCCCATGTACCAATAACGCAACTCGACTAGGCTTCCAACTTTCAACGTTGCGGCCAATGTTGTGGCCAAACCCCATTTTGGATTCATACAACCATGGAGAAGGCCACAATCCCACATTCACCAGTATTCATATACACTCAGGGGGGAAAAAAAGGGATAAAAGAGCAAGGTACACAGCCTCCCAACATCCAACCACAGAAATCAAATATCGGCACAAAACAGGACACAAGGCGGTGTCCTCATTGACCTCAACGAAAAACCACCTGTCAGCGCTATTGCCCGGTAGAGAAGATTTCCCCCCTACAGACACAGACACACAAAGAGCTCCATCACGGTGGTGCAGCCATTGATAGTCCTTGCAGCCATTGATAGTCCTTGCCCTGCCAACACAGCCACCCGGCTGTGCAGCGGGGAGCTCTCACGAGGTCTCAAACCCCTCGTCATCCCGCAGCGGCTCCCGGATGCCATGACGCCCCAGCACCCCCTTGACCGCAACCGCGTCCACATCCGTCCCCGCCGCGGCACCAGCACCTGCCTCGCCGTACTTGTCCCTCCGGTACGTCTCCTCGCGCCTTCCCGCGCCCGCCCCATGCCTTGCCTTGTCCTCTAGCTGTGCGGCCTCCTGCTGCTGCAGCTGCTGCTGCTGTAGCAGCTCCTCGGCTTCTACCTGTTGCCCCTGCGGCCCCACCTGGGACCCCGCCTGAGTCCCCGTGCGGCCCCCGCGCTCCAGCCGGGCCCTCAGTCGCTCATCCAAATCACCCAGGGTGCTGCTCAGCGACTTGCCCCGGGTGAACAAGGTCAACATCTGCAGCGCGGCACGGGGCTGGTCCATGGGGACCATGTGACCCTGGGCAGGGCAGGACATGGCAGGGCAGGGGAACCGGTTCCATGAGCTGGGCTTGCTGGGTAGGTGGGTAATGCGAGTTATGCGTGTCAAAAGCTCGCGGGACACCGCAGGACACAAACCGCACCCCAGACGTATCCCCCGGGTCGCGCACACAGAGCAGGTCATCGCTGCCCTGACACAGCGCTCCTAAAGCCGCTTGCGCCCGCTGGACAAGGCGGCAGGGTAGGGCAGGGAAGGACGCGGAGGCCCCTCCCAGTCCATCTCCACTTCCACGTCCAGGTCCACCCAGCAAGCGCAGGGCACCTGTGGCGCCGCCTCTTCATGATCAAGGTGCTGGAACTACTGCTAATATTGCACACCATATCGATTGCAACCGATCGACGCAACTGCACATCACCCACATGTTGTGTGGGGAAGCACCGCATATATCTCTGCCCTCTTCCCGCTGCTATCGGGGTCCAGGGAAACCCAACTCCCCCTTCCCCCGGGCTTGCAGGTGTGTGTCCTTACCGCCTGGTACACCCTCACAAAGGACAGCGGCCCCAGCTCCCGTACAGTGCCCGCCGCAGCTCCCGCCACCTGCCACTCCTGGGGCCACACCTGCGGCCAGCCCTCCGACTGCTCCCACTCCAGCGCATTCACCCAGCTGCTCCGTCAACGAGGCAACAACAACGACAAGCGGAACAACACCGGTAATGGGCGACATCGGTGATGGGCTCTTGATTAGGGCCCCACCGCGGGGCCCCAACGCACCGTGTGGGTTGCGTGCAGGTGCGGGGGACGGCGGAGCGGCCCAAGGTGCGTCTAAACGAGTCACGGCACAACAGAACAGCCCCATTTTCCATTCCCATTCCCCACTGCAGGAGTAACGGCGTATTCGGTGATTGGTGATAAATGCAATGGGTGATCAGCCGAAGCTTGCCGGGGTGTTTCTGCCTTTACGGGTTGGCCACCACCAGTAGAAAGTCCCCCAATGCTGCTTTTGCCAGCAAGCCGCTGGGCTGTGCCCCCATAACGCCTCGACAATCTGAATCATCAGCACCGTTTAGCCCACCTTGCTTGGCCTGCCTACCAATGAAGGTAATGCTATCCACCGGGTTGAAAAAACACATCATATCCGCCCCCAACTCCAGCACCGCTACGATATTCACCCCCCAGTCACCTACCTACCCTACCCACAGCACAGCTCCACAACCCGCTGGGCGCCTGGAGGGTATGCAGGGTTAGACAACCGGCAAGTACCAACGCGCCAGCCCTCGCACATTTGCTCTCTCCCGCCCTCACCCTCCCAGCCCCCGGCCCTCGGCCCGCCACCTCACCGTTCGTTCCCCACCCAGTTGCAAATGAGGTCCAGATCGCCCGCGTAGATCATCACACGGATGCCGTCATCAAGCAGCGCGGGGAGCAGCTTGTCGTACGAGCGCAGCCAGTCACCTGCCGTACCATCACCACCACGGCCATCAGTATTCGCTGAGGGTACGGCTAGCTAGCAGCAGCATGGCAGTGCGTAGGAATACAGAGCCATCGGCCATTTTTTGGCGCCAATCGCGACAATTAACCCGATCGGTGTGTGTGTGTAAGAGTATGTGTGTGTGTGTGTGTGTGTGTGTGTCTCTGTCTGTCCGCAAGCAAGCAAGCAGGGGTAGGAAGCAGGTGTCCCTCCCTACCAAGACAGGTGGGGCAGGTGAGACAAGGACCCATAAATAGGTTGGGCTAAAACGCCTTAACCACCCAGCCAGTCACCCCGACCATCCTCCTACCAGAGACAACTCATCCAGCACCCACTCTCCCCCCCTGTCCCACACTGCCACCCACCCAGGAAGTCGCCGTTGACGCCCATGTTGCACTCCTCCCAGCGCCGCTCCCCCACTCCCAGCTCGGCACGCACGTCCGCCCGGTTGAGAAATTCGTCCGCGGCGGACATGTCGTAGCACAGCGGCCCGTCGCAGGTCTTGGTGATGTCGTACACGTTGATGCCGGGGTTGGCTGCCAGGATGCGATCGAAGCTGACCAGCTGACACACCTGCAGCGCCAACGCACACGCCGCCCGCCACTGATGCGAGTCACAGAACTCTGCTCCCCAGCGGCACATGGGCATCCAGAACTGGATGCTGTCGTGGAGCTGCGGGGAGGGCAGGAAGGGGGGAGCGAACAGCTTGTGACTCACAAGTTGTGGGTGCCGACGTGCCAGGGGGACGCCGGGAGAGGGAGTGTGTGTGCGTGTGAGAGGGAGAGTGTGGTTTCATTCATTTGACGCGGGCTCCCCCTAATCCTTTCTCACCCCATCCTAGCTCACCCTACCCACGCTGCCCTACTCACCCCCTTGCTGATGATGCCGTTCTGCAGGGCGTATTCGGCATATGCTGGGAACTGCAGGGAGGGGGCCGTCATGCCGTTCCCAATGGCCAGTCCGCGCAGGGGGATGGTGAAGGGGCCCTGACCCAGCTCGTTGGCGCGGTAGATGGCGGAGGACACTGCGGGCACGTAGTGGCCCTGCGGACAGTTGAAGTGCAGTGGGGAACGGAGTGGCGGGGAGGGAGGGGGAGGGGGGGCGTGGGAGGTGATTAAGACGGAGGGAAAGGGGGGTTGGGGGTAAGACGAACCACTGGCGAGTGAAGCAGAAACCAGAAATAGACGGATAGTCCAGGAGAAGACAAATGCTGCACAAGGAATATATTTTACTGATCACTAATGACTTGAGTAGTAGTCTTGGAGGCGACGTGGCCATAGCTGGGTTGCGTAACGAGCTACTAGCTGCCAAGTCCAAACTCTAAAGAAGGCAGAAGGCGAATTTCAAGCAGGAAAAGGCTACCCAACCGCCGAGATGAAAGGAGAATCTTGGAGAGAAAGGAAACCGTAGGAGTAGTGGAGTGTAGAATTTTAAGGCGGTACAATGAAGATATCGGAAACTGTAACGCGAAGTATTCGGACATCTACACCGACGTGGCGGTAAGAATAGTAAAGTATGCGTTAGCTAAGTCTTTGGCTGCTACGCTGCTTGCCGACATACAAGTGTTCCTCCCAGGCCCCCAACTCACACAACCCTGGCCCGTCCAACCCAACCCAACCCAACCCGGCTAGCTCGCCGGTGTAGCGCGAAACAAACAACTAAGCTCGGACCCGCTAGGACGCACCTGGCCAGCCGGCACAAGTGGCGGGGCAGGGCACATGCGAAATGGAAAGCAAGGAAGTTGGCAAGCAGCGGCAGATAAACAAGAAATGCACCTGGCGAAGTGCCGCTAAGGGAAACTGGTAAGATACCGGCCTAGAACAAAGAGATGAAGAGAAGCTGAGGGGGGATGGGGGGAATGAAGCCTGAGAGTGTGTGTAAGAGCCGTATGTGTGGGGGGAAAGACGAAGCACGAGCGAGTGTGTGTGTGTGTGCGGGGGGGGGGGGTAAGGGAACCCTATACCCGGTGCGAACCCTATACCCGGTGCCCGCTACCCTCTGCTCTTATCTCACCGCGTACGACTCCCCCGTTACGAAGAAGTCGTTCTCCAGCAGTTCCGGGTGAGCTGCGGAGGAGGACGGGGAAGAGAGGAACCACACAGGGAGGAGGACCACACAGGGGGTGGCACAGGATGCACAGTGGTGGGGGTGGTGGCAGTCATGTGAGACATGCGGGTGGCGCAGCGGCACCGGGAAACACAATCAGGGTTGCATAGTCCACTGTTCCCCGTTACGGGACACATTGCACGACCCCCCTCCCTCCACCCCCCCCCTGGTGTGGGGCGCGCTCACCCGAATAAAAAGCGTACAGAAAGTCCAGCATGTCTTCCCCCACCACCACCTCATTATAAACCCGGTCCCGCCAGTCCTGCGTGTATGTTTATGTTTATGTTGAGGGGGGGGGCGCCGTGTGCATAAGTGTGCGTGTGTATGAATGTATGTATGAATGTATGTATGCATGTATGATGTGTGAAACAGGGGGGTGTATCTTCGCCCGTGGCAGCTACCCTGCGAAACCCTGCCTTCCCCGGTATTTCGGGGCACCCTCATCCAGTCACCCTAGTCAACTTCTCAGTGGATCGCTCAGGTTCCGCACCCACCACCAACATCCAACGGAATCTGCCGGGTCGACAGCGGCCCAACTCCGTTCCTGGTCGGCTCGCAGGTTGACTTTATCCCAGGTCACCACCGTCCATCAACTAGGGGCGCAATGCCTTCCACCATCGGAAGGACTTTTGACCCTAACGGGTATCGATCCCGGGATCTCCCGGGGGCAATGGTCGCGCCTTACCAGTGGTGCCAAACCCTTATATGTATGTATGTATGCATGCATGTATGATGTGTGTGACAGGGGGGTGTATCTTCGCCCGTGGCAGCTACCCTGCGAAACCCTGCGTTCCCCGGTATTTCGGGGCACCCTCATCCAGTCACCCTAGTCAACTTCTCAGTGGATCGCTCAGGTTCCGCACCCACCACCAGCATCCAACGGAATCTGCCGGGTCGACAGCGGCCCAACTCCATTCCTGGTCGGCTCGCAGGTTAACTTTATCCCAGGTCACCACCGTCCATCAACTAGGGGCGCGATAACTTCCATCATGGGAAGGATTTTCGACCTTGATTGGTCTTGATCCCGGGATCTCCCGGGGTCAATGGTCGCGCGTTATCAGTAGTGCCTAGCATGTATGTATGTATGTATGTATGTATGTATGTATGTATGTATGTATGTATGTATGTATGTATGTATGTATGTATGTATATATATGTATGTATATATGTATGTATGTATCCACCCTCCTGCTGCTCCCGGCCCCCGCTGCCACAGCGGCACATATATATCACATACAGTTACGTGCTGCAGGACTTCAACTCATATATTCATATCTTACGTCACTGTAAGAGAAGCCCGTTCCGATTGGTTGATCAACAAAGATCATGTTGTGCAGGGTGTCCCAGCCATACTTGGTCTCGGTAAGTGTACGAGTATCATTGTTGATGAAGTACGGGCCGTTCTCGTAAAAGATTGCGATCTCTCTCTCTCTCTCTCTTGCGATCTCTCTCTCTCTCTCTCTCTGTATGTATGTATGTATGTATATATATGTATGTATATATATGTATGTATATATGTATGTATGTATCCACCCTCCTGCTGCTCCCGGCCCCCGCTGCCACAGCGGCACATATATATCACATACAGTTACGTGCTGCAGGACTTCAACTCATATATTCATATCTTACGTCACTGTAAGAGAAGCCCGTTCCGATTGGTTGATCAACAAAGATCATGTTGTGCAGGGTGTCCCAGCCATACTTGGTCTCGGTAAGTGTACGAGTATCATTGTTGATGAAGTACGGGCCGTTCTCGTAAAAGATTGCGATCTCACTGCTGCAACCGGGACCACCTGCGCGAGTGAGTGGGCCATTAGATAGGTAGATAAACCAGACAGCGCAAACAAAAGAGGGGGGAGAGAGTCTGCTGCCTTTGAGGGCAGCTGGTAGGAGAGTCATGGCGAGCTGCGAAAGGGAGGGAGAGGTCCCAGCGGCCGCATGCAGGGCAACCGTCCGCAAAAGGGGGACGGTAAAGGATGGGATTTTACGGCTTTGAGGTTTTTGCGTACGGCGTTTCAACGAGCGCGATTACTCAGCCCTTGTCCCCTTGCGCCAATCGCCCTTGCAGCACATTAGGAAGCAGGACAATGACCCACCCAAAGGAGGTTCCCCGCCATAATTGGTGACAAGCAGAACCCGAAAATTCAGCATGCGCAAAATAAACACAGACATATGTACTCAAGGACTGCATACGCACACACAGGCAGATACACATGAACACATACAAGTACGCATCCTTAGCGACCATAACGCCAGCATCGCCTACAAATGTTCATATGCACATTTATAACTTTGCTTTCATCAGTTATGATGTCTCAAATATAAGCATTCGTAACACAGCGTAAAGGAAAGGCACGGGGGTAAGGTCCACCAAAAGAAATGTTGTACATGGCTCTTCTCGATACCCACCAGTCATCCACAACACCAAAGGATCCGCCTTGGGAGCATTCCTTGACTGGAAAAAGAAGTAGAACATACGAGCATCGTGCGTCCTGTATCATGGAGGCAGGTGTTGTGGTAGATGTGGACTACAAACTTGCTACTCCAGCAACCACACCGCATCATAGAAGGAAGTAGAGGAGTTACCTGTTGAGCCTGAAGTAACCAGCGATCCGCTTTGGAGGGTCCACCAACGGCGTGTCGGCATAACGAGGGTCCAGCGGTAGGTGAATCTCCTTTTCGACAAGCCTATCGCCTTGCCCGCATGTCGATACAGCCAGGAAAAGAATTGAAGCACACAAGGCAAGCCCAAAGGAACGAACGAAGCCCATTGTCCCTGCTTCGATTGTGCAACACAGAAACTACCAGCTATTAGAGCCCTCTCCAGGAACCCTGGCGAGTTGTCAGCGTTATGTATCAGTCGGAGGCACCCTTGTAACAAATTGGAAGTGGAACCGTTGCCGTACAGTGTCATCGCCAAGTCCACCGCTGGAACACAGGCCCCACGGGTGCCGGAAAATTGAACTTTCCGTGCAAATTTCCAATATGGAATTTTTCTAAAAGTCCGCGAGTACCACCCCCATGAGGGACCTTGATGTTTGCGATTAGAACTCCCTGCACCGAAACCAAATTTTCGTGTGTCAGGAATCCGAACACAGAGAACTTTTGTAAAGCATTAAGGCTTGCACGTAACGTTTCTGCGTTTACAAAAGTATCGCAAGGGCTGTTTGCCGCCTTACTTTCCCTTCCTAAAGTCGGGAGGCATCGGGCGGCCACAAGTTGTGTCACGGTCACATGGCAGGACCTGCTTTATTTATGATTTGAGGTACGTCTAATAGGTACGTCGAGGCGTGATTGGAATCCTCAAGTGTAGTTCCGGGGCTGGCGTTGCCACGGCTTGTTTACGTTTCCTAAGGTTGCGCTGAGGAGCGGAGATACTTCACCGCATCCTAGGGTGCTTGTCTGTGCCGATTTTACCGTGGCAAAGTTCAGCAAATGCACTATCTGTCCTCAAGTATGTCGTCAGCTGGCTGCGCCCTATGTTTCTGCCTTGCAGGCCCTGCTCATACAAATGGAGGAAGCGGCATGCTCCCGCCTTCCGACTCAGACTTTCAGCAGGGTTCCATTCGCTTGTTTCCGACCCTGCTTGCGAGTCGCTTTTAACGGTGCAGGCCGCAGAGCCCTTGCCGCGGGTTCTGGCCGCCTCACCGTGCTTGGCACCTTCACATGGCCTCCCCCGCCAGTTCACTACTTGGCGCAGCCTTCGCGTCCCATATGTTCACGAGCTATTCGTGCGCAGTGGGTCCGATCACTGCTCAAACCAACAGCCTTACCCCAGCGTCCCGGCGGCGGGCGGGCAGGCGTATCCGGCATAACCCACACCTTCGAAAAGGTGTCAACGGCGCGTGAACTCATGCTGCTTTGGATGCGTCGGCGAAGCAGCACACCCGACTTGTTCCTCAACGTGGAAGCATTGCGCGCGCTGGAGAGGTGTTTCTCCAAGCACGGCGGCAGCGGTAGCCGTGAGGAGCTGCCGGAACTGCTGGTAAACCTATGTCTGTGAATTGCAAAATGGAGCATGTGTGTTTACGCAATATGTATGCCCGCAAACGGGAGGCGGAGTAAACGGGAGGCGGACATGCTAAGGACAGCGCGTGTGTAACTTATTGCTCAGTCCTGCCGTGTTGCGTTACAGGAGCCAAGCCGCCAGCCGCCAGCGCAACTCGATAGCAAAGCAACCCGGCTGCGAAACCCCCTCCCAACACCAACCCATTGTGAAAGTTGCACTAGTGGCCGGTAATGCTGGCAGTTACCTGTGTTGCACCGTTAACGAATCCTAGGACCTCAAGGGCCCCGGCAAGGGCCCCACCCCGGGCGACCCACCCAAGGCCAGCAGCGACAAAACCAGCGACCACTGAATTGCGGCAACCCCCGGGATTGCCCTGGGTGGGTGGGGGTACGACGAAGCACAGACGATTGACGAAAAAAGGGTAACATAGACGGGTACTCCAAGGTTAGACCAATAATGTAGGACATTATTTAAGAGACTGACCTGTGGGTGGGTGCAGGGAAAGCTAGAGGACACTGTCCCAGCAGTGGAACACACCACCTCTTGGTAATAGTCAAACCAACGGCAGTTAAAAGAACCAATGCGCCTTTGCGACCCAAGTAGGAACTTGGAGTCCCCTGCCGTACTGTGATCCGGCACATGTGTGCATGCGCCCTGCTTCCACGCACCACGGCAGTTCCCCGTCACAAGCAATAACTACTCGCCGATCTCTGCACTCTTACTTCGCTTCGAGAAGCTTATGGATGGCATGGCGGTGTTACTTGGATGCCGGCAAGGGCCGCTCCCCTCCAGGCTTGCATTTCTTCAGCATCCTTCACACCCAGTACTACCCAGTTTTGCCTTTCACCCGGAGCGGGTTCTGGCCGCCCTCTGGACCCCACGGCCTTGCACAGGACTTCGTGTGGAAGCTCCTCACGGAGATACACGACAGACGGAATAACCTGTCTTTCCAGGCGATGGTACACTTGATGAAGAGCCTACTGGTGGTGCTGCCGGCGCTGGGCTGGCCAGTGCGTGACCCGCGGGTCGTTTCGAACATCGCTTCTCGCCTGGCGGCGGCAGCTGATGACGAGCAGAGGCTTAGTCCCTTTGGGCTGCCCTTAAAGGAGCTCTGTGGGGCCTTCCGGTTGCTGGCGCAGCTGGCGCAGATCGCTAAGACCCGGCAGCCGATGCCTGAGACAGTCCGCGCCTGGGCCGTGGTGCTGCAGAAAGCATCAGAGCATCTGCAGTTGGTTGTCTTTGATGGGAGCGGCGTGTCGAGGCGGGTGGGGCAGGCGGATTTGGAGGCGCTTGCGGCGGCGGTGGAGCTTACCACGATGTACGAGCTGGCGGCGCCGGAGGCATTCATCAGCGCTTCCACGCAGCGTGTTGACCAGCTGGTAGCGGCGGCTGTGGCGCAGCGCCAGGCGGCCGGGTGAGGGGGTCAAGACAGGTCAGGTGGGCGCGGGCCGCACAGGGTGCTGTGCGTGTGTGTTGTTGCTCAGCAGCTCCATGCGGATTGCTATTCTCCGAGGGGCTGTAGGGAGCCCACTGACACGCACAGATTCATACTGGGCCCACTGGCTCCTTTGGGGTGCTCGTTACGACGTTAAGCCTTTACTCCCAGTCGGTCATCGCTGCTCATTGCGTAGGTCAAAAAGCCGCCAAGTGCTCACTACTAGACATGCTAAGGGCTGCTGGGGCGGTTTGGCCGATGTGTGGCCGTGCTGTGATATTTGCACTCTGCAGGCTTTGCACTCCTTTGCATCCTGTGCCCCTCGCCTGCAGGAAGGGCGGTGATGTCAAGGGTGTTGCCGTGGAGGCGGAGGCTGCGCGTGATGGTGGCCGGCGGGGAAGCAGTGGACGTGGAAGCAGTGGACGTGGTCGCGGCCGCAGCGATCGGCAGCCAGGCCGCAGAGGAGGCCGTGAGTCTCTATCCTCCGCCACATGGAGGAAGCCGTCGGCATCAGTAGAAGATTCAGCACCTGCAGAAGCAGCGCGAGCAAGTGCGGTGGTGGAGGGTGCGGTGGCGGTGGAGGCACCTAGCGCCGATCTGGACGTACCCGCCCTGGCTCGTGTCCTGGCGGCTTGGTGCCGCACGAAACCCGGCCGGCCGGCCCCTGAGGCGTCCTGGCTGAGGCGCCATGCAGAGCTGGTGCTGCGGACGCAGGATCCGGATACCCCGAAGCGGCTGAACGCACTCAAGCAGCAATTAGCGGAGCTGGAAGGCAAATTGCATGGCCTGGACAAGCAGGAACGAGCACAGCTGCAGAAGCAGAAGCAGGAGCAACAGCAGCCAGATGCGGATATCCAGGGTGCCGACAAAGGCTCTGCGAGTGGCAGTTCGATGAGCGGCAGCCGAGGCCGCGGCCAGGCCAGGGGCCGAGGTGGCGGGCGCGGTGCTCATCCACGGACCGAGCCTAGACGGGGCGCCGCACAGTCCCCGGAAGGTGTTGGCCGGGTTGCCGAGGGACTGAAGGCCAAAATGAGCAAGGTTAGGGCCGAGCTGAAGGCTCTGACTACTTCAGGTGGGATGCTGCAGCAGCTGGCGCCCCTGAGCAATAAGGACGTGGTGACCTTGCTGGTGGCGCTGGCGAGTCGGCTTGGTGAGGAGGCGGGCGCAGATCTGGGCAACTTGGCGGAAGCGGTGGTGAAGGCGCGTATGAGCCGCAACTTGGAGCCGCCCTTTCTTGTGCAGGTCGGCGTGGTGTTGGAGAGAGGAGAAAAGAGGGATTTAGGTTGCAGCAGTCAGGCCAGGCAGGCCACGAGGCCGCGAGGCTACCGAGAGAGCTGAGTCAGGGAGAGGCATTGGCTGTTAGGGGCAGCGTAGGCCCCCGGCCGCGGGTCGGCCAGGGCCACAGACACCCTGGTTGCAGCTCTTGGATCTCACAAGCAGCCTCCTAGTACAAGGCACTCTGGGTGATGCTCTTTCCGTGTGACGGTAAGCTCCTCGACCAGTCATGGTGCGCATGCACACACGTGCCGTGTACCCCGTGTACCGCTCCATGCAGGCGACAGCCGCCATTGCCAACATGGGCCATGTCCCGGAGCCGGCGTTTCTAGCCGAAGGGTTGAGAGAATTGATGCCCTTCCTGTCCAAGCTCGACCAGAAAGATGTCCTACAGCTCCTGGAGTCGTGGGCTCGGTTTAACTTCATACCTGGCCGAAGCCACAAAGTGGCGGTGGCAGAGCACATCATGGAGGCGGTGGATGCACACGGCGGCCTGGGCGAGGCTCCGACTGCGCTTATCTGTCAGCTGTGTCGTTCCTTCGGGCAGTGGGAGGTGCCCTTCCAGAAGGGGCATCTCGTGTCGCTGCAGGTGGTGGTGGAGAGACGGGTGCTCATGTCGCTACCGGAGGAAACGGTCTCGGGCCTGGGGGCGCGGGCGCAGGTGGGTTGGGCAGGTTACCAAGGCCAGAGGGGTTTCTGGACCAGGTAATTAAAGTTAAGCCGGCGCTATTTTTTGTTTTGGGGGATTTGGTGCGGGGTGGGACGATAAGGGCGGGAAGGGAGCCCTCCTGGCCGCGTCTCCACACTCACTCATTCCTTCACCATCCACCATCCACCATCATGCACCACCATTAACTCCCCTACGTGATGTACGAAATATTATATCCCATGATTGCACAGCTGATACGAGGGTTCATCTGTGCAACCGTTCTTGCGTGCCTCAGCGCTTGCATGAGCAGCCAGAAATCCACATCGATATTGATATGATCTTTATAATAGCTGGTTGGATGGGTGGCTTGCATGTGCCTTCACCTTCCTGTTGCAGGTGGTCAGGTCGTCCTCCTCATCCTCCGCGCCCGCGATGAGCCTGGACCACCTGCTGTACGACGTGTTGCTGCCACTCGCCCGGCTGCGTCAGGGCTTCAAGAATCCGGAGATGTTCACGCAGGCGGTCGGGCACTGGTCGACGCAGGGCTTTGTGGGCCTGGACGAGCGCAAGGCGGCTTTGCTGCTGAACGCATATGCGCACAACACGACGTGGCCTGCGGTGCCTCAGTTGCGGGAGGTGAGCCCGTATAGCGGTAGGTCTGCAGCATGTGTATGTATGTATTCCTGTGTGCGTACATCCCCTGCCTTCGCACCTGTCCATCGTGGGGTTGTTGTAGCGGACATCGCTGCGGTTGAACCCTGGGGAGGCCTTGTGGGTGGGGGCGGATCGAGGACAGCTATCGGAAGCCGGGACCACCACCAACGGGCCGTACTCGGCCGCCGTACATAAGATGTGGCCTTGGGAATCTCGTGCCGGGTCAGCTTAGTGCTGATCCTCCTTTCGCTTCCAGTCATCCATACCCCTGTCGCACTATAAACCGAGCCAGATCGCAACGTGTTCAGGTACAGGCAAGAAAGGTGGAAAACCGCCGGTACATCCAAACGATCACGTCAATATGGCACAATAAACCCGTAGCTTTAATTAACCAAAGTACTAAAGAGATACATATACATATATCTACTGCAGTTGCCAGCTGTGATGTGGGTGCATACCATTGCCCGATGATGGTGCCTTGCGCGGAGCTTCCGGGTTCACGACAGCTCAGTCTCTGTGTGGTGCTTGGTCGCGACACTGGTCTCACACCGGCTGCACCCATGCTTATCTGCATCCATTGACATCCGCAACAGCTGATGGCGGTAGCAAACCGTTCATCCATTCCATGTGGAAGACCGTAAATGAACTCCATTTTGCTTCGGCCTGATGAAGCTGTGACCCCCATGTGTGTGGCCCCCGCATATCGCGATTGCCCTTACATTGGCTTTCAGAGGTTACACGAGCTTCTGCACGCGGCTCTCACCTTGGGCTCCAGTTGCGCAGCGGACCTATCCGTGCTTGTGCTCGCTGCCAGCCGGGCCATGCGGGTCATGGCGGACAAGATGCAGCGGCCGAAGGGCATACCTGTGCTGGTGAGCCGCGTGGATGGGATGAAGTGCCATCACTTCCATCCCTTTCAGATGGGAGCACGTATTCATCAGCGGGTTTGGTAGGAGAGGTTCGCCTGGAGGGTTTCGCGTGGACTACTGGCCCTGTCTGGTCAACTTGCAAAGCAGCATGGATGGCAAGGGAAGTGTGACCCGCGGTTCCAGATTCCTATAAGCTGCAGTTGAACGCAGGCGGAAGTAACAAATTGAAAATGGTCGCTAGGCCGCGTTCTGATGTGGATTGGCGAACCGCATACTATGCACAAACTCGCAATGGTACCTCCGTGTCTCTAGGACATGCGTTCACATCTGTTCTGGCCCGTCGCAACTATTCGGCCCCATTGTGCCCCGCCCACCCGCACCACAACAGGACGTGACCGACCCACGGGTCGCACTGCTGGTGATGCCGGCCGTGGACCGCCTGCTACAGCTCGAACCCTCCGCACAGCACATTGCCCGTGCTGCCCAGGGCCTCTTCGTGGAACTGGAATGGCGCGGAGAAACGCATACACGTGCCGCGGTCGGCAACCGTAGTAGTGTTGATAACGACCAACCGGCGGCTCCCGAGGCGCTAGCGCTGCTGGTGTGCATGCTGGAGGCGGCTGACCGCAGCCTGGAGACCTGCAACTTACGGAGCTACGGATACCTGCTGGCCGCCTGCAATGCCATGAGATACACGCCGCGCAAGACATGGCTTGTTGCCCTGTATCGGGCAGCTGAGGCGTCACTGGGCAGTAGGGGGAGTCCCCCGGTGGATGTCCTGGTTGGCTTGCTAAATGGCATGACAGGAGTTGATTACGGCTCCAACTCTGAAGAAGGATCTGCGGCCGGCGACAACGACGCGGATCCTCGTGCTGCTGCTGCGGCGGCTGATGATGGGGCTAACAATGAGAATAACAGAGAAGATGATTTCAACAAGGCAAAGCAGCCCTTGCTGCTCAAGTTGGCTGTGGCTGTGTTGGCGGAGCCAGGGGCATTGCAGGTGGGCCGCGACTCGCGGGATATCCTTAAGCTGTGTGTATATGTGCCGCTCAATTCCGAAAGCTGTACCCAAAGCTACAACCTTCACGAAGGTGCATTTATTTGTCAGCTCGCCCGCATGGGGGGTCACAATTCTCCTCGGTGGGTGCATGCTATTTGCTGATCTGTATGTATCTCGATGTCCAAGTCGACCCCAGGGCATCATCCCGGCGCCACACACTATTCGTTTGAGACACACACCCTACACATACACGTACACATACACACAGGCTCTCACAAGGAATCCCGACGACCTGGCGAAAGCTGTCCGGCAGCTGGCGGTGCTGGGTCTACATCCGGAGCCCGACTGGCTGGCCAGGTACACGCAGCTCGCGCAGAGCTTGTTGAGCTCTATGTCCCTGAAGGGCGTTACCCATGTGGCCGAGGGGTTGGCGCTCATGAATGCCCAGCCGTCGCAAGTGCTGCTGGACACCCTCATTGTGCGGGCGGAGAGGGACCTGCGAAGCCTCTCAACGTACGATCCCTTCCTGTGTGGCCTGCTGCTGGGTAGCATGCACAAGATGCAGCAGAACATTTACCGATCCACGCAGCCGAGTTCCTTACGGCGGTGGAGGGAAGAAATGGAAAAACAGGCGGACGGGGAGCTGCAGCAGCAGCAGCAGGGTCAGGTGTTGGAGGAGCGTTTGAGCGGGGCAGCGAGGGAGGCCTGGGGCCGCGTGCACATGCAGTTGGTGACGGAAACCCGCAAGGGAACCGGTATCTTGTCGTTCAGGCCGGAGCAGCTGGTCCTTTTGGCCAGCGCTGTGGCCTCACACGAGCTGACCAGAGCACAAAACGGCTTTGGTGGAAGGGGCGGTGGCGGCGGCCAGGGCGGCGGCGGTCGCGGCAGGACCGGTGCCGCTGCAGTGCAAGACCTGACCGGCCGCGTGACCGTGGAATGGTTACAAGACTGCACAACAGTAAGTAGGCCGCCAGATGCGCTGGGGGGTGAAGCTAAAGCGTATTCCGCAGCGCCTGAACGAGGTCATGGATGATAGTGGCATGGTTGGTGTACGTGTACGGTGCAGAGGCAACCTCGGGGGGGGGGTTGCATGGAACCCCAACGGCCAACGCACATCCTGAAGTTGTTGGACAGGCGCTGCCAATATTCGTGGGGTTGAAGGAACCGGACACGGCGTTTCCGTTTGCATCTAGGCCAAAGCCATCCCACTGTGTCTCTCGCCCACAAGGTGCTCCTCACGAGTCCTCACCAATCCCTGGTTCATTACGCACCTCCACCGCCCCGTCCCGCTCACCACCCTCGTTTCGCCAACAGCCCCAGTCGACCGTCATCGCTCCCTTGCCCTGTTTTCCCTACAGGGCTTGCTGCGTGGCCTTCCACCATCTTGGGGCCACGGAGGGCCTAGCGGCTTCTTGCCGCCGGCGGAGCTGCTGATCAACTTGCTGCGTCTGACGTCACATGTGCTGTACGATACCAGGCCCAACACCGTTGCACGGCTCCTACCGGTTCCAGAGGGAACAAGCAGCGCCGAGTCAGAGCTGAGAGTGACGGTTACCACATACGTGCGCCGTGCTATGTCACTCCTCGCTCAAAGGTCCGGCGATGGCAATAATGGGCCGATGGTCAGAGGCCGCGGTGGCGATCCAGCCTTTATCACCGGCGTCGAGTGGCATAGGCTGCTGGACGCCGCGATGTCTGCCGGCATACAGCCTGCACAGATTGAGGTCGACTCCTACGCAGCGGCCCTGTTTGGCTCTGTTGCCGAGCTCGTGGAAGGTTCATCGTCGTCGTTGCCTGAAACTGCAGGATTTAGCGATGATAAAAAAGTAGTGGAGGAGGAGAGTACGCGCAAGCTGCAGCTGTCCCTCGCTTGGGATGAGCTGAAGGTTGCAATTGATTACGTGCTGCTGCCAATGTTGCCTACAGCGCCCGGTCCTGACATGCTGAAGCAGCTGCGGGAGGGGCTGCTGGTTCAGTCGTCTGCGGCGGCAGCGGTGCTGGAAGCGGCCAGCTGGCAGCACTTGTCATCCCTGTGCACCTACGGCCTGCAGGTAGGCCCCGAGCTGCTGCCAGAGGACTGGTGGCCCAGGCTGCAAGCGGAACTGCGGCGGCGCACCACGTTGCCTGAACGGCCGCTTGAGCTTGCTTCGCTATGCTATGGGCTTGAGGTCACCGGGTGTAGAGCGCCGGCAGCGGCCCTGCTGGCGCTGCAGCAAGGGTTTGATGCTTTGGCCGCGGATGAGCGGGTGCAGCTGAGCGGCCATGAGCAGCGTTGGGGTCGTGCATTGCCGCTGCTCCATCTGCTGTGGGTGTGTCACCGAAACAACTTCCTGGAGGCGGTACCCGAGCATGTATGGGAGGAGTTCTGCTGCGGCTCCAGCCCCGTGGGCTCGGTGCTGCCATTGCTCCAGCCGTTGCAGGTGGGCCAGCTGGTATTGCTTTGGGTGGCCCACATGCATTCACACGGCGCCGGCAGAAATAGCAGCAGCAGCAGCAGCACCCACAGTAACAGCAGCGGTCGTGACAACGGCGGTTCTGGACACAGGTCAAGTACACGGGACCTGCCTGATTGGTTCACCCCGGCATGGATGGATGCACTCGTAAATGCATGCCGTGGGGGAAAGGGCCAGCAGGTTCCGCAGAGTGGCGGAGCTGCGGCGTCATTGCAGCAGTCGTTGGAACCGCTGGTGGCGGCGCTCGCGATCTGCTACTGCCTACCAATTGGCGACATCAGCGGTGGCGGAAGTAGCAATACCGGCGGCAGAAGGAGCGGCGGAAGTAGCAATGTCCCGCTGTTGCAGCACTGCGTGGAGGTGCTGGTGGACCGGGCGCTGCCCGCACTGGTGACTTCCGACCAGCTGCTGCCGTTGGGGGACATCCCGGTCTTCCTGGAGGCCCTGGAACGGAGGGCCGTGCCGCTACCGCAGCCGCACCTGCGAGCTATCGTGGCGCGCCTGGAGGGACCAGCAGCCGCTGCAGCGCCCTCCGCGGCCGTGGAGGCCAAGGGCGCTTCAGAAGGCTCGGATGGCTCAGCCCCTCCGTTGAATGGGGATGCCGCCACGCCTCTGACGCAGCTGGCCCAGCTGGGGCCTGTGCAGGCAGTTCGGGTGAGGATCTGAGCGACCGGATAACAGGGGCGTGTCGGTAAGGTGTGGGCCACATCTTCATGACTCATAAGAGCCGAGAATGCACTAAAGCCCTTAGATACGGAGGGATAGGCCAATGATGGGCCACGTGTTGGTGTCACTGGGGCCGACATTGACATTGACAAGCCCGCCAAAGTTAAAAAAATCTTGCGCAATTGGTGCGGGCGGGCGTGTAAGAAACCGCTCCTTCTATGTCTAGAAGCGAAGCTCCCGGCTTGCTTTAAATGGTCTTAGAAGGCCCTTCTTAAGCCCTATGCGAATCTACAAGGATGCTGCAACGTGACTTTATACCCCTAGCAGTTGCAGTAGCATCACTGCTGCTTAGCATTTCGGTTGAACTGCACGTGCAGGTCGTGACCTTGCTCTTGGCGACCAGGGACATTGAGACAGTCTTACCTGTCCTTTCAGTTCTGATGCCGTCCGCGGCGGACGACGTGCTAAGGGAGGTGCTGACTGATCGGCTTGGACAGTCCGTGCTGAGCGCAGGGCTGGAAGCGGGCATGTTCGCCGCAGCTGGCCTGGACACACCCGCCTCGCGTCCTGCTGCATCCCTTGCCGTGCAAGTGTCCGCGGCGGCAATGGCGTCCTTTGTCCACCAGGTACTCCGGCTTGAAGGGCTGCCGGTGTCGGCCGGAACACCTCACGGAACCGCACCGCGGAATGCAGGAGGCGAGGGAAACCACCCGCAGGCGTCACCGTCGCATCCGCAGCAGCAAGTATCGCAGACAACCCTGGAGACCGTGCCGCCAGCGGAGCTTGCCAAGTTTGCACAGGCGCTCATTGACGCTTCAGGTGCTCGTCCGCTGTCCACCCCCGCTGCGGCGGTGCTTATGCGACTGTTCTTGATCGATGGCGTCGTCCGGCAGGTGCCCAACTCCTATTTGGAGAGGGCGCTGTGCCACAGCCTCACCATCACGGGCAGTCGCAGCCGGGGGAAGGAGGCCACTACCGCCGACCCGGTCTTGCCTCTTCCCATGCCCGATGGGGTGTGTTCGATGCTGATCGCACAGCTGATGCCTGCAATAAGAGTAAAGTTGGGGTTCAGCGATTTGGTGTCAGGCCTGCAGCGCTGCGGTGCTAGCTCCGTACAGATCCAGCGCGTGCTGCTGGCCGTGACAGATGTTGAAAGCCTCACAGGAGAAGAGGTCCTGGTGCTGCTGCGGGCGCTAGTGGACTGCGGGGTGCGTGAGCAACTGGCGTTCACTCAGCAGCCACCCGTCGAGCCACCTCCAGAGGCCACCGGCAGCAGCAGAAGCAGCGGTGGCGAGGCAAGGTATCCCACTTCAGGCGGGTCGTTCGTGGCGCTAATCGTGCGACTGGTAAAGCAACTGCGCCGCACTGCGGCTTATGAGCTGTCGGTGCGGGAACTTGCGGAGGTGCAGCGCCTGCTGGCGGTACTGTTGCGGCGACTGGATGGGCTGATGTGTGCTGACTTCTTAGATGCTTTCTATATCGCCAACAGGGCAGTGCACAGCAATCGGATGCTGTCCGACGCAGAGAAGGACCCGGATGCGTTGTTTGAGCTTCTGGAGTCATCATCTGCGTTGGGTGAGTGGGTGAGGTTTGCGGGCACAGGCGCAGGTCTTCGTTTTTCAAGCTCCTCGTGGTTCCATGTGTGTGGGTACGTGCGTGTGCGTGTGTGTCTGGATATGCCATTAGTGCTGGCTAAGCCAACGGCCCTGGACATCCCGAGGGCAATCCCGATTTGCTCCCCTCCGCCGCGCGGCTTTTGGGCAGTGAAGATGAAGATGAATTTCTGGATGGGGCCGGGACCCTACCCTGCTCTGCGCCTCTTGCGCTGCACTGCCTCCTGAATTTTGTCATGATTCTCCCATCGCATCATGTCATGGCTTGCCCTGCGTCCCAGCCTTGGCTCTTCCGTATCCCCTTTTTTATCTGGACAATACGCAAGCGGGGACGTTATGTGCCGTTTGTGGCTAATGACTCCATGCGGCCCTTCACGAATTCTGCCATTCATGCCTCGCGCCTTCCCTGAACGTCCCAGGCAGTGCGCGTTTCAACAGGCTGTCTGCTAAGCTGCTGATGTTGAGGAGTTCAGCCGCATTTGCCTCGGAGATAAGCACCTCACCTGAACTGGAAGCAGCTGAGACGGCATCTCGGGTATTTCAGGCCACTATACTGGAGGCCCACGCCAGCGCAATCGTGGTGTCTCAGATGGGCGGATACCTCATTGAGCCACTAGAACTTGCCAAGTTGGCGCCCGTCCTCATGAAGCTCATGTTGGGCCATGTGGAGGCAATCCGGAGGGACGGCGAGGCCGTACCGGACCTGGACCAGGCCTACGAGTCTCGGGCGCGTCAGCAGCTCCTGAAGCCAAGGCGGCTGTCCCAGCGGCAGCTGGGTTTGCTGTTCGGGTTGTTGGTGTCCTGGGGCCCTTCGGACCCGATTATAGAGACAACGGACCTGTGGAAACCGTTGGGACCCGTGGCCTTGGTAAGACCTGGCATGGATTGACGGCCTTGTGGACGAAGCAAGCGTGGGAAGGCGGCGGGGTGCGGAATTAGCAAAAAGAATGGGGCAACACGTTTCACGCTTGCTGGCGTTCTGGCCGCATCCTGTGCTGCAAAGGGCCACAACTTGAAAGGGCGCAAGGGGCAGGCTAGGGGCCATAACAGAGCCATTCGGGTGATGCATGGGTCCACCGCAGGAAGCCCGTGACTGCACGCCACCATGCTGCATGTGCATCCCGTGTGTGTGTGTGTATGTGTGCACGCTGCCCTGTCCCGCTCTATCCATACGCTGCTCCAGTTATGTACCCTCTGTACCTTCGGCACCACCGCACAGATCCGCATTCTGGCCGTTCACCAACTGGATCAAGTAGCGAAGCGGTCGGATGGCAGCACCGCCGTGGAGCATCTCAACTTCGTGCTGGACGCCCTGGAGCCCTTCACTTGGACCCGATTGGATAGAGTTTGGCCAGACGAGATTCATGAGGGGCCCCCACCGTACACTGCCCTGCTGCTCGAACCCGTAGCACGTCTGCTGAGCGGTGGTGTCGAAAACGGAGATCAGCCAGTCTTTGAAGGGCACGATCCTTTGCAGGACGTGATTTTCTTAAACAAGGTCGCCGACCTGGACGAGGAGAGCCTGAGGAAGCAGCTGTTCCTCTTGCAGCCCAAGAACAATAGCTTAGCGGCGACGGCGGTCGAGGTGCCTGACGATGAGAGGTCTGGCACAGGAGGACGCATTGGGCCCGCCGTCGCTTTTGCAGAGGCCAAGACTAGGATGCGCACCAAGGTTCAAGAAGCCGTCGTAGTGTTTGACTCGTGTCCTGTCATGCAGCTTCCAGCCGAGCTGCTGCCGCCACCAGGACGACGTCATGGCATGCCTGGCGACCCCGCGGGTGATGCTGCGCGGGAGGCGTACGTGCGCGCTGCGACGCCGTTGCTGGCGGTTATTGGGCGGCTGCTGCGACTGTTGTTGATGACGCGCACTTTCTCACAGATGGTAACGCTCCTGCGGGGTTCAGGGCTGCCACTTGCCATGAACGGCCGGTGGACTCGCGCCCTTGGGAACTTGCTGGTGGGGGACGATCATGATCGTATCATGAACGATCATGAACGTATGCAGGAGATGATGGAAGCTCAGGATGCAGTCGCCAGGGCGCAGGCGGAGGCCGTGGCGGCAGAGGCGGCCAAGAAGGCGGCGGTAGAGGCAGCCCAGGCGCTGCGCAACCCATGGGCTGCGTGGGCTGCGTTGAACGCCATGTTGCCCTTGGGGGACACCACCCGGTTGGAACTTGCGATGGGGCTGGAAAAGCAGTTTTTTGCATCGCTTCATGAAACTCCTGGCGGCACGAGCAACGATGAGACCACCGAGGAGGCGGAAGACTGTGGTGCCGCTGCTGAGGGGCAGTTGTCAGGGCGTCATGGTGTGGGCGGCATAGATGCAGGGAATGTGGGGGGGGAGGCCGCGGTGGCTGCAGATTCGCCGGAGGAGTCTCAGGCCGGGGTGGCAGAAGCACCAGCACCGTCACCACCAGAGACAACCGCTTTCAACCCTTTCGACGTGACATCTGCATTTAAGCAGAAGTTGAGCGATCTGGGGTACAAGGTCAACTAAGGCGAATGTGGCGAAGGGGCGAAGGAAATAGAGTACAGCAGAGCAGGTTTTAGCAGGTAGCAGGAGGTACCTTAGCCCGCCAAGACCAACGAAGAGAGTCGGGAGAGAGAAACCCGCGGAAGGGAAAGAGTAAGGTGGCGCACGTAGACCTAGATAGGATTGGAGGATGCACCGCACGATGTTGATGCTATCAAATTCGCATTTGAAACGGTTTTTCTCTCCCTCTTGGACTGCTGTTTTTCACGTTGCATGACAACGTTTTCTGTCGTAGTATGTTGGGGCGCAGGATGAAGTGATGTTCGTACAAGCGCGGTTTGCTGCTTTTTGTTGCAGCCAGACGGGGTTACGTCCCCGGACATGAAGTGCTACTGAGCGTGTGGAAGACGTATAAGAGGTCGTCTTTTCCTCATTTTCAGGACCCCAGCGAACAGCCGTGGGGGATAGGGGGTACTTGAATGGTTTCCGAACTCTGATGGCTTTGGATATGCTCGCTTGCTGTTTATGTGATTAGAGATGTTGCGCGCTTGGGTCTTGCTGTCGGTGCAGGAAAGCGTTTGTGCTGGTAGGTAAGGATCCGAAAAGGCATTCTCGTTGCTTCCGTCAAGTCCTTAAGTGCAATTGACGGGTCAACCGAATATTTTGTTGTTGGGTTGCTCTCGAATATCCAAGCGTTCGGAGGGTTCAAACTCCCCCGGTCTTGCAACAGGTCGACGAGACTGGGTCAGACATGATTGGCTCTTTCCCGATCATGGGGGAACTTCAAACCTGCTTCACGTCGACCTACCAGCAGCACGATCAAAAACATATAAAGCTATTATGATGCACGCATGGAGTGCTATTCCTTCAGATGATGCAGATCACACATCCGTCGCTCGTATCGGGTCACCCGAATTTCACTAGCAAGCAGATTGACCTGGTAACTATTTTAGCAAACCTAACCGCAAACCCTCTCCATGTTAGCAAATTGTCGGAACCAAAACGCCCAAACCATGCGGCATCACTTTCTATAATGGTTCCCTCCAGGTATGTTTTGCGGTTATGACAGCCCCACTCCCTCTTATGACCTCTTTTCCTGGGCTCCCGATCATTGGCCGTGCCTCGGGTCCGCCAATTAGCGTGGGGCAGGGGGCCGTCTTTGGTTGTTAGGGGCTGTACGGGGATTGGAACGGGTCTGGCCTCGACAGCTCTTCGGGTCTTGCGGTTCTGTTTGCGGGCCGCACCGGTGTACAGTTGAATGCACCTTAACGCCTTGCCATGCAACCCCTCTCAACAATCCTCCAGACCTCCGACATTTCAATACAATGCCCTCATCGCGCTTCCTCCCGGCTTTTGTCTCAATAGGGACACACCGAATTCAGCCGGGCAGAGCAGGGCTCCCTTGTCCGCCCGCCGTGCGCCCTGCGCTGAGGCGTCGGCAGTCGCAGCCCCTCACCGCGTGTTTTTGCCGAAGAATCATCAGACGCGCGATTTTAGAAATCGGTATTGTGCCATAGCAACGACAAACCTTTAGAGCGTTGCAATCAGTGCAAGGTCCTCGTCAGGCCTCTGCTTGTGTACTGATATAGGTGTCGTAGCCCTCCAAATTTCACGGTCATGATGCCACATACTTACAAACTTGTCCTTGCATTTACTTTCTAAAAAAGTGCTTTGTCTGCGTGCAGAGTTTTGCATGCCAATTCACATGTCACGAAAACGTTCAGCACGAAGTTAGAAACTAGGACACCAACGTCGAAAGTCATGCATAAGATCATCCTGCATGATTACCCACGTAAACAAGGATATTTCATGAAGATAGAAAAAACTTTACAACGCAGCTGTCGTATCTAAAGCAAATCTAATCCGTACACCCTACGGCGCTGGGATTTGCCGTGTGATAGACTTTTAGCTAAGCGAGGCGACGTCTCAGTTTACATATAGGCTGTTCCATCACGTGTTTAGGAGCTTCCATCACCATAGAAAAAGTTGGGGATAATTTTTAAGCCCGCACAATAGAAACGTTTTGACGGTTGCTTCCCCGCATGAGGCTTTTTAAATCACCTATTACTCATCATGCAACTTCTTGGAGCATGCTTCGGGGTTTGCTTCAGTGAAAGCCCCGTCAATGGGCGCCAGCTTGAGGCCATATCGCAAATGGGCAATGGATGCTGCGCTATGCCAAAGGAAGAAGCCGCTGTGGTCATCCAGAATGCCGTGTGTCCTCCCACTACTGCTATTCCTTCCCTTCCTGATGCCACCGAATATCAGCAAGGTCAACATGAAAACAGTTTAGTGGATCAAAAGATTAGTGTTGCTTGTATAGAATCATCGCCGGTCAGTCCAGCACCTCAACGCCTTAGCCTGTGTTCACTGCGGGCCGAAGTGCGGCCTGAGCTGGTTTCTATGCTGGTGTCTGCGAGCTCTTTCTCCAAGCTATCTTTCCACAATCCATCTTTGCAACTGTCAAACTTGGAGTCCACTGCCTCTTTGGGCTCCGGCACTGTCGCACTGATAAGCGATGTCCGAGTGAGTTTAGCTGGCGAGCGCCAGGCCTCCGATTGCGGTCCCATCGCCGTCAAACTCTCAACACTTGAGCAGCTGCTAGCATCTGTCACAGAATCGCTCTGGGTCGGCCAGGTGCGAGCGTCGGTACCATGTGCGTACTCATTCCTGAGCTATCCCCGTTGTTGTGTTGTCAGATAGTATAGCGCTACTGGTTTAATTAAGTGTCCGTACTTTCCCCTTCCCTGAGTATTACTTGTGTATCATCGCGGTTTCTGTAAGGAACTCCGTTTGGGCTGGAAACGGGAAGGGGCCAAAGGCTTGCATCGGCCGCGACGCTCCGTGCTTTCCTCGTGATATGCGTATGGTCACAAGTTGGCGAAGCATGCGCGTTTCATGACCGCTTTGCGACTGGACGGTCGCCAACGTTTGTGCCACGTCTGCATCAGACCATCACGTCGTCATTTATCCAAGCTAGTAGGGTATTGTTGAATAATATTGCGCATGGGCACGTTAACTTCGCAGTATTTTCTTTCGCAAACCGCACTGTGTGCTCTTGCTTGGCTCGCAGGGAGCGCAAGGGGCGGTGCTTAAAGGTGGGTGTCCAGGAGGAAAGGCAAAGAGATAGGTTGCTAAAGGCCGATGTCAGGGCAATGGCCTTCAGTTGTGTACCGTACGGCATAACCCAGCAGTCCGCCCAGCCCCTTGCCCCGGGGTGTGGGGCACCGCATCCGGCAGCGGCGTATGCTGGCAGCGGACAACACGAGCAATGGAATACATCGAAACTTGCTGCGGAAGGCAGAGCACCAACGCCAGCCTATTTGCCCTATAACGCCAGTCCAGCCCCCTATTTGTGACCCACATCACATACAACACCCCACATGTTGTGCAGTGCGGATGGGATGTAGATGGATGCGTACATGAACGGGTGTGGCGAGGCATTCTCAGCGCAGTTTGATGATAGCCGTACGTTCCGTTCGCCTGTCCATTGTCGCCATTGATACGCAGGGCAATGGCGCTCCGGTGGCTGCACTGTGGCCGTCAAGTGGCTAGTCAGCGACGGCGGCGATCTGCCCGCCGCGTACATGGAGGCAGTGGTGGCCAAACTGCTGGCACACCCGTTCCTAGTACAGACCTTCGAGTACGGTATATGCCGGCTTGACGAGAAGTTTGTCCAGCTCCAGCAGCAGCGGCACCAGCAATACAGTGCAGGCCTTCCAGTAGATCAACAGCAGCAGGAGGAGGAGGAGCCGCGGCTGCAGACCCTAAACCACCAGTTGCGTGATTATGCAGCTGACTGCCTCGACCGAAGCCATCTCGAGCAGCAGCAGCAGTCGCTTCCTGTCAGAGGGCAGCCGGAACCGGCCGGTGGCTGCAAGCCTTCACCCTGCCCCAGTCCACCCCAGCAGCCGGGCGCTGTCCCGCCCTTTCCCCCATGTCCGCTGTCATTCGCCGACGCCATTGAGCCTTCCAGATGCGCAGGTTGCAGCGGCGACTGCAGCGATACAGCCAGGTGCAATGCTGATAAGGTCCACGGTTCGATCACGGGAATTCGGTGCCCCATCGGACAGGTCCATGGGTCCGGGACGCTTGCGCCAGCGGCGCAACTTGAGGTTGGCGCGTCTCCTTGGGCACCGACAACGCCCGATCCATGCGTGGATGCCTTGCCTTCGGCGTTTGAGGCGCTGACGGCAGGCCAGGACAGCTTTGACGGCGGAAGCGGCAATCCAGCTGGGTCACGGCCAGTGGACTGTATTGGAGTGTTGAAGCAGCTGGGCGCTACGATGGGCAAATACGTGGTGCAGATTGTGAGCGAGTGGTGCGACGAGGGGACTTTGCACGCCGCCATCCGGCGCGGCGTGTTCAAACCTCAGGCCCCAGCCGGCCCTGGAGGTGCTCGGGGTCGGTCGCGGACCTGGGCACTGCGGGCGCTGCTCAGGACCGCTCGCGAGGTGAGGTGGGGAGGAGAGGAGGCGGCGGGTAGCGTGCGACAGGCAGGGGAGCTGGACAGGGCCCTGCCGCAAGGTGGCTCAGAGCATCCGGCTTGGTCCAAAAGCCCCAACCCAATTTGACAAAGCTCCCCCAACCCAACACCTGCACCAACCCGACCCCGTTTCCAAGCTGGTAAAAAGTTAACCAGTCCATCTAACCCCGTGTTTTCGCAGCCTCTGCTCTCCACTTTCTCCTCCGTCTGTTTGGCCCTGACCTGCGTGCAGGTGGCCCAGGGCATGAGCCACCTGCACTCCCTGAACATCATCCACGGCGACCTGAAGCCCGGGAACGTGCTGCTCAAGAGCAGCCGCATCGATTCGCGCGGCTTCGTGGCGAAGGTAAGATTCAGGGCGCCGGGCTGCCCCTGGGTTTCGCCCCACAGCTGGTGTGGTGGTTATATATTGCGGGTAAGGCAAGGCCGTCAGGCGGGCTGGACTGCGCGCGCTTGATATCTACTGTTTATGAGTTACTGTTGGCATTCAGGTGGCACGGCTGCCCATCACGGACACACAGGTCGCGGCCCGGCTCTAAACACTGAAAGTCCATAGGGATTATTAGTTTTGCGGAGGTGTGGCCGGTTCCCTATCAAGCATTCATTTTTCTCGCTCTTAACAGCGCGTGGAGAAAAGGTCAACTGTACAACAATCTGCGCCTCTACGTCTTCTATGTCTTCTATATCCGACGGATTTGGTTCCTTGTTGGCTTGTCGGTCCTTGGTGTGGTCGTGTAATCAATCGCAGGTAGCCGACTTTGGGCTGTCCCGGCTGTGCAACCAGAGGGAGGAGTACGTCACAACCGCCGACTGGGGTACGGTGCCGTACATGGCGGGCGAGTACCTGGACAACCGGTTGTGCAAGAGCTCAGATGTGCGTGAGGGGGAGGAGGGCTGCAGCCGGTAGGGGCGCTAGGATTGGACCTTTTAGGCGGGGAATATTGTGTGCAGAGGTCACGGAACGGGAGGAGGGGAAGTATTACACGGTGGGAGGATTAGCGGCTGCTTTTGTCTCATGTCGTCCTGTATCCACACCTGTCTCTCTCAGCGGAGAGGGATGGGCACGGGGAAATTGTGGTGAACACGGCGGGTTCCTTCTCCCTAATGGTGCGACCGATTGCAGGTCCCCAACGGCCCTCCGCCCTTCCCTGCATGTTCTTCCGGATCCCTCTCTGCCGTCCATTTCCCCAACCCAACCCCAGCTTTCCCTCCCCCTTCCCGCTTCACTCTTCCCCTTCATACCCCCCCACTAGGTTTACTCGTTCGGTGTGCTGCTATGGCAGATGTACACGGGCAAGGCGCCCTTTGCAGGTCACCTAGAAGGTGGGTGGTAGGGGGTTGGGTGATGCAAGTGGAAAGTCTGGCCGTGGGAAATGGTACCAAGGCAGTGGGGCCTCGGAGGGGTAAGGTCGACGCCTCCGGTGTCGGAGCCTGGGGAGCCACAGCCCGGGGCTCAAGGTGCGAGCTGCGATGCTGCTGTCAAGTTGTTGTACCACGCCATGGCCAGAGCCGGAGGCCTTTCCCGACCACCTGGCATCTTCCCGATATTCGCCACCTTGCGCTGCACTTGCGTCCGCTGGCTCCTTCCATCACACCGCAACAGCTCAAGTGGCGGTGGGTGTGATGCTCGGCAACCTGCATCTGGAGTGGCCGACCAACATGCCACCTCCCCTCGCGAGACTGGGCCAAGCATGCTGCCTCCACGAGCCCGAGCAGCGACCCACGTTCAAGGTTGGAATGGCTCGGGGCAAATCAGAGGGGTGAGGGGACGAGGGCGCTGCGTCATGAGGAATTCAAACAGAGCCATGCACCACCGGTCGGCCGACCTGCGTTTTTTCCTCTTGTTACAATTGTTGTGCTCTGAACGCCATGGGCACGCCGCTCTTCTAACATGCGAATTCTCTCTCACTATGGGATGTGTCGGACAATCGGTCAACTCCCTACATAACTGGATGCTCCAGGGATCTCTGTTGTTCTGCTGCCTGCACCCTGGCGCCCTCCTGTATCCACACCTTTGGCCACCTGCCTACGACACCCCCACCTTACAGGAGGTAGTGGTGGCGCTCACGGGCATTGAGGCGCAGGTGCGGGATGCGCACGCTCGCGCCAAACTAGCCATTCGCCGCTATGGCACGGGCACCACTGCGGCCGCTGCTGCCATATCGGGTGCCGCAGGCCGATATCCCGCAGGCGGCAACGGCGCCACCTCGTCGCTGGTGTTACAGCATGCCGCCTCACTGCCCCAGGGTGCCACTGGCACATTCCCTTTAGCGACCGCTGGAGCTCCCCTCTCGACATTTGGCAGTTCCGTGAGCCAAGCAACCTTCCACCAGCTGCCCACCAGCCAGCACCAGAACCAAAACCATCCGCACAGCGAGAATGCGGCCCGGTCTGTCAGCCGCGACACCGCTCCCCGCTTGGCACCCGGCCGCCTGCAAGATGCATGTCACTTAAACCGACCCACGAGAAGCATGCTAGTGCTTGGGAGTCGCAAACTGGACATGCTTGGGGATAGCTGCTCGTCCGAGATACCACCCGAGCCACCAGAGTCAGATGCGGTGGCGTCGCCGTCGCCATTCGTGGTCGTGGAGAGGGCCGACGCCATGGGCGCTGCTGGCGGAGGCATTGCGTCGGTGGCGACACAGGTACCGTGGCGTGCGCAGCCGATGTGGCGGCCGCTGCCGCCGGACCTGCCGCCGCAGCCGCTCCCGCCACTGATGTTGCTGCAGTCTCCGACGCTTCTACATCCCCATTGCCCTGCCGGCCGCTTTACGCCAACGAGCACCTCCCGTCTGCATATGCGCACCGGTCCCGGCAGCCCCGTAGACGATGACCTTGACGTCAGTGGTGTTGTACATGGCGACAGCAGCCCTCCAACCCTCTTAGACAGCCTTTCCACGCATAACGTTGCGACGATGCCGCCGCCTCCTCTGGCGCTCGATGTCCCGGCTGCAGCGGCCACCACGGTGCAGTCCATGACGTACAGCAGCGCCGCCGCCGACTCGCCCGCTGTTCCTTCCGCGCTGGCGTCCATGTCGCCAGCAGGTGCCTGGACAACTTGCTGTACAAGACCTACCAATGCCGCCGCTGTTGTAATCGGCATGGAAAGGGCCGGTCCCCTCGCCACCACGGCGGGTCCCGCAGCGGCGGAAGTCTTACCATGCCGGGCCCGAGCCCCGGAGGTGGCGGGTGTGGTTAGCCCCCCCTCAGCGGCGGCTATGGGCATTCCGCCTCGGATACCAGACGGCCTTCCCAACTATCCTGTCGGCGGCGCCGCCGTGTCAGCTGCGCCGTCAGCGGAGGCGCGGGACGTGGTCGCCACCTGCGCCGGCTCTGACTGCAACAAGGCAAGGGCGGTAAATGAGCAGCCTTTCGGTGCAGAGGCCGCTGTGCCAGGCACCCCAGCGACTGTGTCACCTACGCGGCTCCTGCCGCCGCCACCTCTGGGGGCGACATCGCTCGCCTCGCTTACCTTCAACCTGCCGTGTGCGCCTTCGGCATCGCTGACCAGTCCATCTGGGTTGAATGCGGAGTGTGGGGTCCCCGCTAATGGCGCTGATGGATGTTGCATGCACGCATCTGCGCCCGGGTTTCCTGCCGAAGCTCCGTTGCGACAGCTCCCGGACATACACCGGTACGTGAGTCTTCCAGCGCCGCTTCCGGGTGCCAAGGGCGGACGCGGCGATGTTGGCGACTTTGTTGACAGCCGTGGGGCGTCCATGTCGACGGATATGGCGCAGCAAAGCCCCGGATGGTACTCGCTGAGCTCCCCGCGGCCGGAGCAACAGCAAGAAGAACAGCAGATTCATATTAACATGATGCAGCACTTGCTTCCGCCGCTGCAATTGGCACAGCCGCCGCAGGTGCAACCGAAGCTAAGGGAGCAGCCTTTCGCGCCGCAAAGTTGCGCATTTGAGGCCGCAGCCGGCGCCACCGGCGACATGTCTGTGGCCGGGAACGAGGCCGGCTTTGGGACTGGCCAGAGCCCGCATGCCTATTCTGGCCGTGTACTGCCGCTTAGACTGCTACATCAGCGACAGCAGCAGATGGCAGATGTGGCGGTGTGGACTGGAAGAGGCGTGGGAAAGGGAGCAGCAGCTTGGACCCACTCAGGCCTGACAGGCGCTCCTTGCGCAGCCGCGGTGGCCATGCATCGTCGGCCTCGTAGCGCGCTCGGGCTAGGTGGCTACGGGTCCGCCACCCCAGGCGCTGCTGCGTCGGCCGTCGTGGCGGGACGTCGGGCCACCGGCGGTGCACCTCTGCCGCACTCGTACGGCTCCGCCGTCACCACGGCGGGGAGGGCATTGCTGGATGAATCGCCGCCGCCGCCGCCGCCGCCGCTCGGATTTTCCCCCATGACATTAATTCCCTTAGGCCCGGTGCATGAGGCAGTAGAGGGGCCCGGTGCCAACGCAGACGGGTGAGACGAGTTGGGCAACAATGCTGACGCTGTGGGAATAGTACAGTCACGCAGGGAATTGGAGGTAGGATGGACGGGGGGGTTATGGCGTGATCGCAGTTGGGCAGTTGGAGTGACTTTTAAGAGATTTTACAACGCGTGCACGTGGCTTTGGCTTTGATTGAAAGATGTTTAATTTGAAGGTTCAGTTGCGACGGTGGGAATTTTATGTTAATTGCGGGCGTGGCCTGCGACTTAGGGTTTGCAAATGATGTATCTCGAGCTGGACTGTGACCAGGATGTGCTGGTTTCCCCCTGGAGTGGTGGCATTCAGGTGATTACGTGCTTTCATTCATTCATGCGGTACCAAAGAATACGGCTCTGCTGTGGGGAGTGTGCTATATTAACAGAGGGGAGGGGGGGAGGGAGGAAGATTTTTCACGTCGACAACGGGACAATGGGGCAATGCAGATCATCAACATACCAGTGAAACTGGGGCCGTGCGTGCATTCAGCTACACTATATGGTGCTGAAGATTCCGTGGTGTACTCCGGGTCTTACGGAGTGCAGCATCCTTACTGTGGGTGCAACCTAGACGTATTCCGACTCTGTATTATATGATATTGACAAATAAGGGTTTCTGCCGGCCTTATCTTTGATGAGGGGGGGCCAGCGCTGGTTTGATTTGTGTACTACTGATCGGGTAATTTCATGTCCACTATCGCAGCTGCGCTGGTCTGAGGCGTATTGCACTTATTGCCTGTTTTGTCGATGTCTCACGGTGATGGCCCTTGACAGAAGTAATGCTATATATATTGGGCCCCTGTCGCAGCGTCGTTGGACTATGAACAAGTACTGTCGGTGGGTTGGTCAGTGGGTTTGGTTTAGTAGTGGCGATGGCTGGTGGCCGTTGTTTCAAATGGCTGTTTGTTTTTTTGTCCGCGGCTTTCAGCGATGAATGGCCTTTGACCCGTGCGGTGGCGGTTGATGGTTGGGTTTGGCTTGTGTTAGTCGGTCGATTCATCGTCGGCTTATCTCTCTGTTGTTGCAGTGAACGTTCGGGACAAGGAGTGGAAAGGTACGCTACCGTTTTTCCCTCTCGCCCTGTCAAGTTGGCGGTATACCTACCCCTTAGCAGCACTGGGGCGCACTCATCCTGCAGCGGCAGTACTTGTAACGGCCATCTGCGCGGTGTGGGGACAACGGATGCAGGGATGGTGCTGCTGGTGTCGTGCGTTGACGCCGGAGGGCGACGTTACTTCGCCCCAGATCTGGCAGCTCCGGCTGCTGGTGTGCGGGCTTGCACACACACACACACACACACATACGCACACACTCATTCGAACCTTTTAGTTGTAAGTTCCGGGAACTGCACGTTGCTCTAATGCACGTGCACACGAGAGAGCGCGAAGAGGGGAGGAAGAGACCCACGGTGTGCGATGTGGGTTGAGCGGCTGGCTGGCAACTGCACCAGTAGCAGGGAGGTGCAACTAGTTGACTTGGTGGAAGCAATGGTGAATGGGCGCAGCAGCTTAGGGAAGAATGCGGATGAGAGTGAATGCGGGGCAATCTGTTAGTCGGTCAGTGCAGTGGTTCTGCTGTTTTTGTTTCCTTCATCTCCACATGTTATGTTACTGTTTTGTGTTTTTATGTCCGTTTGTGGTCATACATACTGGTGTTCGGTATGGGTGGGAGTGAAATTGCTTGAAGGACCGTCCAAGGCAGCGAATCGTATGGAAAGTTGAGGAAAACGTGTTTGGTTTGGCGTTTTTATGGTTTTGTGATGTCGATAAAGAAGGAATGTTGAAGAGATATTTCGTAAGGGGAAACGTGGTGGCCATTGTTGAGGTGTGCGTGATGTCACGTGCCGTGTCGTAACTTGGTTGTGGTTGGGATTGCTGTGGAGAGCCTGTGGTGGCTAAAGCAAGGACAAGGCTGGGTCCGTACTGGAGGAGGAATTGCGTTAAAGAGTCTGCTCGCAGATCAGGGCGTGAAGGCCCTCCTACGGCCAGAGAAAGGAGGCAATCTCGTTGGTAGACGCGGCTCCACAAGGGTTGCTTGCGTGGAACGTTTGATGATGGCTCTCGTGGAGCTCTTAACGGCTCCGTTTTCATGTCATGTGTGTGATGTTCTTTAGGTCAGGGTGCCTTGCTTTGCAGGAAGTAGTCTGCGGACCGGATGTCGTCCGCGTCAGCTGCTGTTGTTGAATGTACTCCTGCGCTGCTGTGTGTAGTGCGGTCTAGCGATCCTTGGAATCTTTCTTTTAAGCCGTGGTAGCAGTCGGCCGTGAGGGCGACTCCATGCGCCTTTCGTTTCAGGTGGGTTAGGTGTTAGGCGTCGGCATGCGCACGGCAGGCATGACAGGGCCGCTGGGCGAAGAGCGGCTGGGCATGGCTGTGGCTGGAGATCAGGCGCGGGATATTGGCGAATGGCTGCGCAGTTGGTTCACGGAGGTCTGTGTGATGCATCTACCTGGTTCACCTAGCCGCCTACTCATCTATCGCGCTGCATGCGACCGCATTGTATTCCATTGGGTGTTGTATTGCTTGGACTGTGACATCTTTTTACAGAGTCTTCCTCGCGGCGACTGGGCTGAGAAGCGATTAGTTTTATATACATGGCACTCACACACGCATATGTACGATGACAGGCAGTATGACTATGAGCTAAATGCATCGTCTCACGGCGCTCCAGTACAAGGACAACTCCCCGTCCGCAGGTAAGACTCCTCGACAAGATATGACAGGTGACGGAATGCGCGGATGAAGCTCCCCATTGCCATCGGCTGCATGAACGAGCGAGAAGATGCTACTGTCGACGCGGAATTGAGTACGACACCTGGAGCTGCCGTACTCCACATTGCACCTTATTTCGTGGACTTTGATGCGGGAGGAGTCTTACCTGCGGACGGGGAGGGCTTCGAGACGCGAACCTCGCAAGACACGCATTTGGGCGTTTGAGGCGTCTGCAGCTGTTGGACGTGACGGAGTGGTGGCGGAATCGGGGACTCCACTGCTGGTGTCTAGTCATACTACTGCTTTGCGACTTACCCACCATTTACCCCTTACACATATATTCGCCTTGTAATGTGAGCTATAGCAATACTTGGCACACATACGTTGTAGGTTCTGAATGGTAAGAGGCACGACACTCGCCAACAATAAAGCGTAGCGCACCCACCGCGCAAGATTTTCTCTCCATGTCCAGCTTCATCCATTCGCGGCCGGACCGGCTACCTTCCTCGTCCAGTCCAGTTGCCTTATGTTCTGGGTGGCCGTTGGGCAGTCCTTTGTGTGTCTTTACTCTTTACTTTTGGATGGCTGTTGGAGGTGCGGGCCAGGGAGGCGGCCTGGGTGGTGGTGTGGTAGTGGTAGTGACTGTGCCCGCTATATGTTATACATAAAATACCCAAAGGGAGAGGAGAGGATGTTCGGCCAACACAGCCCGCAACACCTTTCTTTGGCGCCGCGTCTCCCGGCGTTTGTGGCGCGGGTGCTGCCTGCGCTTCATCCCGTGGGCTGTGAATTTTAATTTGGGGTTGGTGTGCGAAATAGCCCAGAAGCCTTCCATTCTGTAACAACGACGATTCGGGGTTAGCGTCGGTGATCATCATAGCAATCTGGTGGTGGTAGTAGTCGACATGATGGTTATGGCATTGGTGCTGGCTACATAACACATTTAGATTTTTTGTTGGTGTTTAGCTTTCTTTAGCACGCAATTTTCTCAGCTCCAACAGCCGCGATGGTGCGAATAGATTTATGGTGTTTGAAATGGTGGTTACGTTTTTGGCACTCCTCAGCCTTCCCGTACGGACGGATATACCTGCGTGATCCGCTTTGTCGGGCTTCGAGTTCCTGAAAGGGCTAGATTGCTGTGACGTTAGCACTCGCCCTGGCTGTCTGCTGCCTATATCCATATTCTGTCTGCGTGCTTTGCCTTGCTACCTCTCACTCCCTGGGCATCTGTGCATCGCGATTTCTTGCACTGGGGGTGCGTCGGTTAGACGGTGTACACGTGAACGGATCCTGGGCCACCTAATTTGGGGCATTCTGTGCTGGCACAAGGGGATTTGCAACCAAGAGGGAAGAGATTACGGCGCTAGATGGACTAGGCTTTATTGTGGTGCGGAAATTGACTTATCCGTCGGTGTTTTTTTCATAAGCGCTAGATGCCAGGATTTGCGTTCTGAACGCAAGCAAGGTGTGATGAATGCTTAACTCCCTGTTTCCGCGGAGGAGGGATTCTGTGCCGCCGCAACGCTCCTGGTTTGCGTTGCGTACTGACCCTATTCTACAGCCGTTTGTGCCGGTGTGCCTTAGGCGCATTGGTTACATGCAGAGTTGTGTAATTGCGTGGACGGACCTCAATACGCCTCAAGGCAGCATACACGAATTCGAACGTGCCACATCCAGTTGCGTGTATAAGGCATAAGTGTGTTAGGATGGAATCTATCCATGCTGACATTCAAAACCCCCGCATCACAACGGACGAGAGGATCATCAGCCCATAAACCCCCACGTCACCCCCACGTTGTGTGGGCTGAACTTTCACTGCCTCTTGCGGCTCACGGTACCACAGACAGGAGTTCCCCGGCGCTGCGATGAATGCAAACATTGCTTGGTGCTCTTGCCGGTTCGCCGGGACCTGTCTGGTCCGACCTTCATGCCCCTCTGCAGCGCAGCAACACGACTTCATACCGCTGGGTGCGCTGTTCCTTGCAGCCTCTGTAGCCAGGCAAGCACCTGGCGCTTGTGCGGTTGGAAACCGTTGGCTGCCTTCCGCTCCCTCCTGCCCACCACATTCACCTCCAGACCAAAGGTCCTGTGCCCAGACCCAGGAAATGCGCTGGCCGTGGAACAGCGCCGCGAGGTGTCAGCAGGCAGCCACACGCCGCATGCGATGTGGGTCAGTGGAAGAGGAAAAAGGTGTGGCGGCTTTGAGGAGCCCCTTTGGGGATTGGAAGGGCTTGGAGGCGGCAGGCCTGCGGTAAGAAAGGAAACCCGAGTCGCACAGCGCAGGCCGAACACACCTGGCTAGCCCTGCTGCTACCCCTGCTCCTGCTCGAGCTGCAGATAGGGCCTCTGTGCCCAGCTGTCCTGCACATTCCTGTCGCACGCCTAGCATATCTACCCCTAAAGCTCCAGGTTGGCTTGCTCGCTGCAGCTCCGGAACCCCTCCACTCTTTCAACCGGCGAACATTCTTGCCCCAACAGAGTGTGTATGTCGGTATGTCTGGTCGTGACCATTCTTCGCACTGCCTGGAGCAACCGCCCTCTACCCGTCGCTGCTCTTCACTCGCTTCAGGCCGGGCTCTACTGCATCTTCCCCTGCCCCGGGCTCCACTGCGGAGGGCTGCGCGCCAACAGCCCCCCCCGCCGTTGCTTCCGCTGTCGCGGCCGCCGCCGCCGCCGCCGTCTCCACCGCTGCCTGCTCGCCGTTTCCCCGCGCCTTGCAGCGACGCGCCACAAGCTCCGCGGCCCAGGCTTTCCTGCCGGGATGGATGAGGGCGAGAAGACGACGGCAGCAAAATTTACTCCGCAACGTTTCCCCCCTTTCTGTCGTCATCCTGCTTCTGGCATTATATCGCGTAAAGATCAGCAGCCATGGGAGTAAGAGGGAGAGAAAGAGCGCACAACATTTATGTCCTCCTTGGTCGGTTTAGCCGCCTCCTTCTTGAAAATCAATTAAGCCACCAAAAACAACCAAATAAGACAATCATCTCACCACCCAACGCCCCAAAACCCCATCCCTCACCCTGTCGCGGTTTTGAAGCGCCCCGAGGTGCTCGCGAAGAACTCTTCCAACAGCATACCCGGCTGGGCCTGTACGCATGTATGTATGTATGTATGTGCGTGTGAAGGTGAGTGGTGAAATCGGGGTGGATGGTAAGCTTGATTTGAAAAGGCTCACATAAGGATTCCAGGATGTTTGAAGGTGCGGGGGGAGGGGGAGAAACAGACGAACCACAGACGAGTGAAGCAGAAGTCAGAGATAGACGGATACTCCGCAGGAATAGACATACATACATACATATTGCATCAGGAATTGTCAAGGAGTTACCGACACCAGTAATGACAGTAGGTTAGTTGTCATCGCAGCGACGTGATGGCCAGGTGGCTGGGTGATTACGGAGCGAGTGTCTAGGGGGCTGCCGAGCTGCCCTATGGAGAAGATGTGAAGTAGCGAAATGAGTAAAAACCCTACATAATACCCAGGGGGGGTTACATATGGCAAGCTTGCATGCGCGCACACACACACACGCACACACACACATATACACACATACATACATACACACGACCTACAATGCATCCCCACTCACTCACCCGCCCGCCCGCACCTGCTCATATTGGAATGCCGTAATGATCATCTCCAGCTTGTCAAAGTCCTTCACCAGCAGGGCTTCAGGACTACTGGCTGCTTCGTACTCCAGCCACAGGGACTCGACCTCGAGGGCTGCCGTACACTCCGTACGCATGCAGGGTTTCGTACGCCGTACGGGACAATGGAAGTGAACAGGGCCGCGCCGCACACATGACGCAGACTGACAGCATATACGCATTCGACAGCGTGGGGGGGACTTAGGCGGCGCTGCAGCTGGCACATCCATTGTGTGTGCACATCATATTCGTAACTAACTAACTAACGCCTCAACTCTAACGCTGTACCCTCCCGGGGAGAGCTGCATGTGGCGGCATGTGGGTGGTAGTGGGTACCAACCACATCATTACACATCATCGGCACCGGCGCGCGGGTTCGCGGCTCCACATACACGACCCTCTCATGCAGCCATCCACTACCCCTACCCCTGCCCCTACTCCCCCCTCCCTACCTGCCGCCGTGTCTACACCTAGCATCTCCTTGATCTGGCCCACTGCCGCCAGCTCCCTCAGGTGCTTCTCCTGGTCACTGACCCCGCAGTGCGGCGTGATGTCGCCCACCAGCGACTCGGCCACGTCGTGAACCAAAGCCATCTTGATGCACCTTTGTTCGTGTTCGTGTTCGTGTGAGGTGCGGGGAAAAAGACGAACCGCACGCGGTGCGGGGGGGGGGAGGGTTATGTTGGGTGTGAGGTGAGGCACCATTTTCTAAGCCGTGTATGAGGCGCACGACATGAGGTGCGGGGGGTGGGGTAGGTAGGTTAGGTAAGTAGGGGAGTGACGGGTGGCGGACAGTCATGTCACGAACGCGATTCCGATCCGGAACCCGAACGCGAATGTCCCTTGGGAGCCCTTGGTAGTATTTCGGGGGAGAGGAGAGAGAGTAGCGAGCGGGGCGGGGAAGACAGCGAGGGGGAGAGGGCTAATGCCGCCAAGTAGTCACCGGGAGGGGGGGGAGTCACGGGGAGAAAGAAAAGGAGGGGGTGGCTAATTGAGTGAGTGAATATATGCGTGGTGTAACATCACATGGGGTTCATCATCAAGTGGTTGTCGACTGTCGAGTCCAGTGGCCATACCCACCGATACCCGAGGTTGGGGCGGGGCGGGGTGGGGTAGTGGGGGTGGGGGCGGGAGGAAGGAAACGCCGCGAGGACTCAGATGGGCGGATGGGTGGCGGGCAGGTGGATGGGTGGGGGAATGAGGCTCAGACAAGAACACTCCAAGAGGTGTGTGCGCCTGCGTGGTGCCGCAGCAGGAAGGGGGCCTGGGAGGATTGCCCCCGATCTAAGTTCCCGCCCGGAAAGGCAGGTGGGGAATCCCCCGAAACACCCACACGCACACAAAGCCCTAGTGTGGCACGACCCGCCAGAATGCACGGGTGTTCCTACCTGTTCACGTCCACTCCGCTGTCCGTGGCGATGAGGGCCATCATAGACATGCGGTACATGTGGTCTGCATGGGGAGAACGAAGGAGAGGAGAGGACAGGAAAGGAGGAGAGGAGGGGAGGAGAGGAGGGGAGGAGAGGAGGGGAGGGGAGGAAGGGTGCGGGCATCAAATAATTGGGTGCTGCTTGTGTGGGTGGTGGAGCTAGTATGCTCTTCGGAAGAACCCACCGGCAATGCTCTCCGGTCCGTTCACGTTCTTTCGCACCCATCCCGTCCGCTTCGTCAGCTACGGCAGGGAAAGACGTAGAGGCCACTGTTAAGAAGGCAGGTATGAGAACCTTGAGCGTCGATGTCCGCACGCTGCACCTTGAGCTGCTGGAGGAGCATGAGAAAGTCGATGGCTCCCGCGGGAGTCGGCTGAGACCCGTTGGACGTAGATGACGACATGCTTCGACCGATAAAGGAATTTCTTGGCAACGGTTTAATGTGTTTATACGTACAGTAGGAGTGAACGCATAAAACAGTATGCGGGCGACCTTTGCAAGATGAGGGCCAGGAAACCCTTGAGGCCAAACGTTGACTATAAAGCCTAACAGTATAAAGCATAATTGTCTACAGCAGTCCTCCCGCAGACCGCTCTTCTACTCGACTTTGCAGCTGTAACGGCGCTAAGGCAGCCCTTGGCCAACGGTCATCCGTACCAGCGGCACGTTAAGAATTTTCATGAACTTCCAATACCAAATGGTATTTAAGATTACCAAACCTATCGTTGGATCAAGATTCTTGTGCCTCGCTGCGCTAGTCGTCGAGCTTTGTTACAGCAGCTGCCAAAATATTACCGTTAGTACGGTACGTTGGATTTCGATTTCGTGGTGAACAGAGATCGGCAAATCGGTTTCTATGCTGCTCGCTCCGTACACATTGCAGTCCAAGCGTTGTAGCGTTGTATAAGGGGTTGGAAGGTCACACCATACACCTCTGTTCGTCGCCATGCCAGCCCGTGCTTGCGTGCGCTGCACATGGCACGGCGGGGTTCACCCAGCAGTGGAAACAACCATGCTAGCACCGCATCAGCAAGTCACGGCAAGTTCTTCTGGTCTTGCGCCATGAAGTTAGTGTCGCTCCCCGAGTCCCCCAGTCCACCCGGTGAGCTTCACCAAGCCGGCACTGCTGGTAGGCAGAAAGCTGGCAGAAAGCTGTGCAGAGTCGAACTAAATTTGGGGCACATAGCTGATGTGAGAGAAGGGATAAACGGATCCCAAGTGAAGCGCGGACCAGTCAAACACTGAAGCTGCGCGAATTCGGAAGTGCAAAGTGTGCGAGTCGAAGGGATGAGTGCAGAAATTCGTCCTTGTGTTACAAGATTGACGAGGCTCGGCAATTAGAGCAGCAAAGACAGCAGCATCCTGATGCATGAGTTGCACTAATGACAAAGTCTGCATAAGCCAAGCAAACTTGCCACTTGCCGAGGCGCTGCTCACACACACACAAACGAAAGTCCTCCCTACCCGCGATATGACCCAATGTGCAAGTCATGAACCTATCCGACAAATAAGCGGGTATCGTTCAAATGGCCAACAGCCATGTGAAACACAAAACCCAAATACATGGCAAAAGCGAACAGTTGGCAAGCCTGCCATAATGAAGCATCCTCTTGTGCCACTGACAAACACAGCTTGGCTATTGGCGCGGGCTCCACAATGCGGACTGGAGCCCCTGCATATGTACAGATGAAACGGTTAAACATGCCAACTCCAACGACTAACGGATGCATTTGAGCGCGAACGGCAGTTTACCCCCCAAGCTTGCGGCCCAGACTTACCGTGCACAATACTGTGCTAAGGCGCCTCACGTACGTCGCAGCCTCGTTAGACCTGAGGCCGCGCACTCGTGCAACTTTCAAACAGAAAGCCTGCGGAAGTGGAGACCCTGCATATGTACAGACGAAACGGTTAAATATGCCAATTCCAACGACTAACGGATGCATTTGAGCGCGAACGGCAGTTTACCCCCCAAGCGTGCGGCCCAGACTTACCGTGCACGATACCGTGCTAAGGCGCCTCACGCACGTCGCAGCCTAGTTAGACCTGAGGCCGCAGCTTGGCTATTGGCGCGGGCTCCACAATGCGGACTGGAGCCCCTGCATATGTACAGATGAAACGGTTAAACATGCCAACTCCAACGACTAACGGATGCATTTGAGCGCGAACGGCAGTTTACCCCCCAAGCTTGCGGCCCAGACTTACCGTGCACGATACCGTGCTAAGGCGGCTCACGTACTCCGCAGCCTAGTTAGACCTGAGGCCGCGGACTCGTGCAACTTTCAAACAGAAAGCCTGCGGAAGTGGAGACCCTGCATATGTACAGACGAAACGGTTAAATATTCCAATTCCAACGACTAACGGATGCATTTGAGCGCGAACGGCAGTTTACCCCCCAAGCGTGCGGCCCAGACTTACCGTGCACGATACCGTGCTAAGGCGCCTCACGCACGTCGCAGCCTCGTTAGACCTGAGGCCGCGCACTCGTGCAACTTTCAAACAGAAAGCCTGCGGAAGTGGAGACCCTGCATAAGAACAGATAAAACGGTTAAATATTCCAATTCCAACGACTAACGGATGCATTTGAGCGCGAACAGCAGTTCAACCCCCAAGCTTGCGGCCCAGACTTACCGTGCACGATACCGTGCTAAGGCGCCTCATGTACGTCGCAGCCTCGTGCAAAGCTTCACGCAACCGCTAAAATAAAATCGGTCCATTCCAAACCCCGAATCGCATCAGGTCACACCCCAAATAGCATCGGTCCATGCAAACCCACCGAACCACATTGCGCCGGGTAACCCCTCAAATCGCATCGTTCCATGCAAACCCCCCGAACTGCATTATGCCAGGTAACCCCCCAAATAGCATCGGTCCATGCAAACCCACCGAACCACATTGCGCCAGGTAACCCCCCAGATAGCATCGTTCCATGCAAACCCACCGAACCACATTGCGCCAGTTAACCCCCCAGATAGCATCGGTCCATGCAAACCCCGAACCGCATTACGCCAGTTAACCCCCCAGATAGCATCGGTCCATGCAAACCCCCCGAACTGCATTATGCCAGTTCACCCCCAAATAGCATCGTTCCATGCAAACCCACCGAACCACATTGCGCCGGGTAACCCCCCAAATAGCATCGTTCCATGCAAACCCACCGAACCACATTACGCCAGTTAACCCCCCAGATAGCATCGGTCCATGCAAACCCACCGAACCACATTGCGCCAGTTAACCCCTCAGATAGCATCGTTCCATGCAAACCCCCCGAACTGCATTATGCCAGTTAACCCCCCAGATAGCATCGGTCCATGCAAACCCACCGAACCACATTGCGCCAGTTAACCCCCCAGATAGCATCGGTCCATGCAAACCCCGAACCACATTGCGCCAGTTAACCCCCCAAATCGCATCGGTCCATGCAAACCCCCCGAACTGCATTATGTCAGGTCACACCCCAAATAGCATCGGTCCATGCAAACCCACCGAACCACATTGCGCCGGGTAACCCCCCAGATAGCATCGTTCCATGCAAACCCCCCGAACTGCATTATGTCAGGTCACCCCCCAAATAGCATCGGTCCATGCAAACCCACCGAACCACATTACGCCGGGTAACACCCTCAAATAGCATCGTTCCATGCAAACCCACCGAACCACATTGCGCCAGGTAACCCCCCAAATCGCATCGTTCCATGCAAACCCCCCGAACCACATTATGCCAGGTAACCCCCCAAATAGCATCGGTCCATGCAAACCCACCGAACCACATTGCGCCAGGTAACCCCCCAAATCGCATCGGTCCATGCAAACCCCCCGAACTGCATTGCGCCAGGTAACCCCCCAAATAGCATCGGTCCATGCAAACCCCCCGAACCACATTGCGCCAGGCA